TTTTCCAGTACTCGTACTAGAATTTTTCTAGAAAATTTCTCTCCGTGCAGATTCAAGCGTTTTTAATCATCAAATTTGTCAATTAAATTGCGTGAGAAAAATTTGAAAAAAGTGATGAATATTCAGAGTCATTCAAATTTCATGTTGCACATAGGGAGAGAAAAATTCAATAAAAATTACGAGAAAAAAACGTAAAAATTATGTTTGGAAACGTAATCCGGAGCGAAGTAAAATTCAACAAAAAGTGTGAGTCGGAACTGAAATTGTACGAATCGCCACGTAAATTCTACGATTTGTTCCGTAAAAATTAACCACCCGTCTGATGACTCACCGCTGTGGGGACAACAAGTCGTTCCGTAATTTTTCCCCAACGATTGAGAAATTTTATGGAACGAAATGTAGAAATAACTCAACAGCTTCATAAAAATTGTTGAACCTTCAAGAATTTTTGATTTTAGGGGCATAATAAATCGGCAAGTTTCTGTAAGATTTTACTTTTTCGCGAAAAATTACGTGACAATTTCGTACTTTGTTCGGTGATGAACCTGAGAATTCACAGAACCTTCCAGATTTCTTCTCTTCCATTCCTATAAAAATTGCCGGAAAACGCTTCCCCATTGCGGATTACGTGAATTGTTCCGTAATTTTTACTGAATATTTCTCTCCGTGCAGAATGATTATTTCTTTAAATATTCGTTGTTTATAAATAAATATTTAAAATTATTCACACTTTCGGATAAATATTTCAAATTTTTCAAATGTTTTCCATTCAATATCGAGATTCAAATTCAGACCTCAACGTTTAATAGTAAAATCGTTCTAAAATGTTCGGAAACTCGAGGTCAAATAGCGCTCAAATGCAAGCTCAGATGTTTGACTCCAAAAGTAGAAAAGCATTTCACTGCAGAACAAATAGCCAAAGTACTTGGATAATCATAGGTTCAATTATTCCGTGAAAATTAATAGAAATCTGGTGAATTTTTCTCTGTTGATTCGGGAAAATTTACTGAACGTGAAGGTAATTATTGCCAAAACTGTTAAATTTACTCCGCAATCCATCAAAACACATCCCAGTGAACGTAAATAATTGCTCAATATCGCGTATAATTTTTCTATAACGGAGAATGATTTTGTATTCTACTGAATTTTTAATGAAACTTGATATAATAAACAATGCATAAATATTTATTATAGATATCATAAATCAAAACACGTATTGAGAACAATATTCTCCATTCAAAAATGGTATTCCCTGTGAAAAGTTGGCGAAAACGGTTTTAAAAGCGACAGAATAATCGCAAAAAAAATAATTTCCTCTGCACGAAACATGAAACCAGAAAAGCCCCCAGCCAATTTTTACAAGTTTACCCAATTCACTTGGCAGCCTTTTAATGCTGTAACGAATTTCCAAGGGTAATAAAGTCACGGATATATCCAGAAGCGATTCAAGCATAGAATATTACAGACCCCATTTCGAAGATTGAGGTTGAAGTAGAATGGGCAGAGGGTACTAATAATTTCGGGTATAATTTCTCCTTCCTGGTAACGACACCAAGTTGAAATTGTCTCAGGCTCAACAAAAAAAATTTACTGACTTTTTCTTATCGAATATCCAATAGAATCAGCGCAAACAAAAATAGAATTCCAATAGAAATCCTTTAGAAACCCCATAGAATTCCTACAGAATTCCAATAGAATTTTCTAGCGAATTCGCTAAGTTGAGGCATTAGACACAAAAATGCGTCTAATGTCTTCAAGACGTCTTAATTTAAGGCAGACACATTTTTGTGTTCATTTTTGTGGCCTTAAATTAAGACGTCTCGAAGACACTAGTTTCCCCACTGCACTGTGGTAATACAAATCGCAAAATACACGAAGGGACTCCAGGATAGACTGCGCAGACAGTCTCATCTCAATTGAACAATAAAAGTTTTCGTAAACTCGTAATAGAAAATTCTTCTGCAAGATTTTACGCTGCGACTCCGTGTACAATGTCAGACGAGTCGATTCCGGGGAACTGCACTTGTTCTTCGAACATTTTTATCACTTCAAGGCGAGTCTTATTGATAGATCATTCCCCCCGTGAGCTGCGTTAATATTATTACACGAAGATAAAATAAATTTTCCGGCGTGTTACGGGCTCTTATAACCACTGACATTTCGGAGTGACAACTGCCGGAACAAATTGCCTGTGAATTTGCAATTATCTTTCCGTTTCGCTGGGGCGGAGGCTACATGGGAGAATTAAATGAAAAAAAACTATTAGAGGGGGAGAGAAAATTATCGCGGGAATTAAATCGAGTATTCCCGGAGAAAGTCGTTATCTGGTTTATGTGATGATGGATTGACTGCACTCGCTACGAAAAATCTCTCCTAATTTATTACGTAAAATTTTCATAAACGAAGGGGAAGAGAAAAATCCCGGGATTTCGCAGTGACGACAGAATAAAAAACGGGAATAAAATTTGGCGAATGAAATATTGTAATGAGTGAAAAAATTTAATAAGTGCTGACTCTTAAATAAATTTTTTGAATTTTCTTCCCCTTGGATTTTATAATGAGAAATGAAAAAAAAGATAAAAAATGTTGAATCCTATATGCTTAAAATTTTTTATTTAAATAGAATCTCAATAGAATAATTTATTCGATATTTCTGGTGATCACGACAAAAATTTAAGTTTTCGGAAAGATATTAAATTTTCTTCTATCCAGTTGGTTAATTTCCCTCAAGTAAATCTCTTCCACTTCATAGTTTTCTGACGGAGCAAATTTTTTCTCTCACTGTAAAATTTTAATAGCGTGAAAATAACTGCCAATGAAGATCGTAGATTACTTTAATATACTATATGAAGTTGCACCTTACAGTAATTGAGATTTATTCATCATAATTGAAATTTGAAAAATAATATATAAATTAGTAATTTAATTTTTCAATTATTGTTTGATAAAATAATTCGGAATTTGAAAATGTTAATGTATGGTTATTGCCATAATAAAAAAATTGGTGAGTAATATTACCAATTGACTTATTCAAAATTCAAGTGTAATTCAAAATTTCGATTATGCCGATGTCTGATGCAGACAAAACACAATAAAAAATGTGGCTCGAGCCACAAACAAATTATTATTTCGAAAGTCAGTTAACGCTTCTCGAATATTCTATACCGTCATATTCGAGACAAACATCATTGTATCCTTGTCCCTCACGAAATTTCTGGACAATTCTCGAACCTTCCACAACAAAAGGTATTTAAAGTAGCTTTACCCTTCGGTCGGGCTGCGCTGTACCTTTTAATATTTTCAATTTTTAAATTTTTCAACTAAATTGCATGGAAAAAATTTGAACAAATTCATACCCAGTCAGTATTATCTGAATTAAATTTCGCAAAATATTGATATTTTTTCAAACATTTCCCTCTTATAAATAAATAATAAAACTTGTTTGCAAAACGGTGGATTATTTTTTATGAGGTGTCAAAAAAATTCTTGATTTTTTCACATCTAATGAAAAAAAAATCCAGATTTTAATCTTTGATTACAATGAAAATGTTGATGTTCATATAAGACACTGGGTTAAATCCTGATTTTTAAACATTTCTTCTTTGAAAAGCCAAAACGATTAAATTTTGAAAAAAATTAGAATTCCGAATCTAATCGAGTTTTCTGCAATTTTTTGGAGTTTTCAATAATCTTTGAATTTACCGTAAGAGTAGAGCTGCTTTAAATCCGCACGCTCCAGCAAATATCGCAGTCCGATTCTCAAACTCGATGTAAACACACCAAACGTGCTAAATACAAAACCTTCATTCTGCTAAACCACGAGTTATTATTCTGCGACATACACCTAACCGCCACAATTCCAAAGAAAAAACTCCAAAAATGGCCACCTGACCGTTGAAAAAACTCCAAATGATCCCCTTAAAGAATCTTTTTTCTCAACCCCCCGCTCCATTCTCCCGCCGCAAAAAAAAAAATTCAATAACGCCATAACTCATCGGTGCTAAGTTCAGTCCTACATAAAATTCGACAGTGAGAATAGCCGACTAAAAATGCAATTCCCAGTCAGGCGAGAAGGAACTTCTCTTTTTCCCAAATGATTCACACGTGTGTTATTGACAGTGCTGCCAGGATGGTAGAGAGAATGCAGGATAAAAGTGATTTTCGGGCGAGTAACTGTGAACTGCACGTCATATAGTACTTCAGCTCTGGGATGTTTATCTCTTCACCTTATCCTTGAGATAGGGGAGGTTCGATACTCTGGGGACTTCTCAACCATATACGGCTCATCTCAATCCTGTATCTCCTCCCCTCGTAGGACGATTTCCCCCTAGTTATCGGGTCTGAGCCACTTCAACTTCCTCTCGACAGTTGGTTTTAATGAGTCGCGTGAGAGATGAAGGAACCTTCGTGCCGCACTTTATTCGTGGGAAATTTACTTCGTGACGATGTGAACAACTTGATGTAGTTGTATCAACACACATTTTTTTGTTTCCCCTAATATAGATCATTTTCAGGAAATATTGGGGTCATTACATACCTTCAGCGCACAAATTCTCCTGTAGATACCATAAATTCGGTTGTTCGGCTCCCGGCGCTGGATTTATGCCTGAAATGAGTAAATAAACGCGTGAAACGGATGATAATTCAATAAATGAATTAATTAATCGGGGAATGATTCACTCACATGCAGTATTTTGCTCTCCCACGTTAATCACCATTCTGGGTGGTCGTGATACCGTAGGCACTGTGCAATCCTCATTTGCATATGACTTTGTTTCCACTCATTCAGAATTCAAAACGCGACCTCTCGATTTTATTTGATATTCACAGGGTGAATATTTGAGTTTATCTTTGGCACACGATGAATTGTGATTGGTGCATGTTTGTTTACCATTTTTATGTAATTCGGGGATTTTTGAATGCGCAGGTCAGCCGTAATTGTGGCGATTAAGTCACTAGATGTTCGTTCACAGGAACATTTTGAACTTGGCACTGATGGGGTCGGTAAGTCACTAGATGCGTCGAACCCTCGGACGTTTTTGAAGCATCAAGTCAAACATTTTGTTATTAGAAATACCGTTTTATCAATTATTGTTCTGTAGTTATCGAAAATTTTGAGTGGTAAAGGGAGTTGAACATGGCGACACTCGAGGATAAATCTATCTGGGAGAATAGTGAGGTAAGTAGCGAACAAAAATGGTTTGTTTTAATTTGCAGGTTAGGAGTCGCGAATGACAAGTCATTTCTGAATCAACGAGTTAACGAATGAACCGATAAAATTCATGAAATTTATTACTGATATTTTCCCGGTTTCTGCATCCTTTGATAGTGTATATAAATATAAAAATTTTGAGTGAAGGCGATATTTTGCTGATTGACACATTTATGACTAGTTGTTTCGCAGTCGTCGAATGAAACAAACACAATAGTATTTGAAGACTATTTGAAGAGTTTAATTTTTAAAAAACTATTAGAAATTAATAGTCTGCGAAAATCTCTTACAATATTTTTATTTCACGATTTGAATTAGTTTTTTACGTTTGATAGTTGATTGAAGCAGATCAAGCAAAAAAAAAATAAAATTCACTAAAAATTCTATGAAATTATCGAAATTACTTGAATTTTCAAATAACTAAAATTTTAAGAGCATATTTACCTGAACTTTCTTGATTTCTATTAATTTTCATATAACAATTGAGCACAAATTCACATTCTCAATCGATTTTTTTATACAATATTAAATTTCCAATAACACAATTCCTCAATTTATCAATTTCAGTGAAACCGTAATATGACAAAAATTTCCAAGAAGTATAACGCAAAATTCCAGCCGAAATTTTTCACCAGTATAATTAAGAAAAGCCCTTCAACTGAATTAATCCCTAAACATGTGACAATTGAAATAAATCAGCAACGAAGTGGTAAAACAGTACAAGTCAATTTTGACCATTGACCAGTTTTCACTGAATATCTCGGAATCTAAAGGAGATGGCAAAATTTTCGTTATAACGTTTTTTGTAGAGCCGATTGAGCGCTGCAACAAATGTGATTACAAAAATTTCGCTATCTCCCTTGAATTCGGAAATATTCCTCAAAAACTCAACTGTGAGCTAAGTCGACTCAAACCGTTTTACCACTTCGCTACCGAAATCATTAAATTCTCGTCTCCCAACCCAGGAAACCCTCGGCGAAGACGTTCTCCGGATGTCCACAGACGAGATAGTCTCTCGCACTCGTCTCCTGGACAACGAGATAAAAATAATGAAGAGCGAGGTGATGCGAATATCGCACGAGCTCCAGGCCCAGAACGAGAAGATAAAAGAGAACACCGAGAAGATAAAAGTCAACAAGACCCTGCCGTACCTGGTGTCGAACGTGATCGAGCTGCTGGACGTCGACCCGCAGGACATGGGCGAGGAGGACGGCGCAGTGGTGGACCTGGACTCGCAGAGAAAGGGGAAATGTGCAGTAATAAAGACCTCGACACGTCAAACGTACTTCCTCCCAGCGATTGGCCTGGTCGACGCTGACTCCCTGAAGCCTGGGGACTTGGTTGGCGTCAACAAGGACAGCTACTTGGTCCTGGAGACCCTTCCAGCCGAGTACGACGCCAGAGTGAAGGCTATGGAGGTAGACGAGAGGCCGACCGAGCAGTACTCAGACATTGGAGGTTTAGACAAGCAGATTCAAGAGCTGATTGAGGCTGTCGTCCTCCCCATGACCCACAAGGAGAAGTTCGAGAACCTGGGGATTCAGCCCCCCAAGGGAGTCCTCCTGTATGGACCCCCTGGCACTGGCAAGACCCTTCTGGCTAGGGCCTGCGCTGCCCAGACCAAATCGACTTTCCTGAAATTAGCTGGACCCCAACTGGTCCAGATGTTCATTGGAGACGGAGCTAAACTCGTTCGCGATGCTTTCTCACTCGCCAAGGAGAAGGCACCTGCCATCATCTTCATCGACGAACTCGACGCCATTGGCACCAAGAGATTCGACTCGGAGAAGGCTGGGGATCGAGAGGTACAACGCACAATGTTGGAGTTGTTGAATCAACTCGATGGGTTCAGCTCCACTGCTGACATCAAGGTCATTGCTGCCACCAACAGGGTTGACATTCTGGACCCTGCGTTGCTGAGGTCTGGACGTCTCGACAGGAAGATTGAATTTCCACATCCTAATGAGGAGGCCAGGGCCAGGATCATGCAGATCCACTCGAGGAAGATGAATATGTCGCCTGATGTTAATTTCGAGGAACTCTCGAGGTCCACTGACGATTTCAATGGGGCACAGTGTAAAGCTGTTTGCGTTGAGGCTGTGAGTATTTTTTTCATGGGATTTTGTTGTGGTTTAAATGGAATAGGTGTTGGAAATTTATAGAAAAATTTAACTGAGGTGAATTCAGCAGCGAAGTGGTCAAACAGTTTAAGTTAATTTTGTCTTTAGTTGAGTTTTCCAGAAATATTCACGAAATTAAGGGAGATTTTTATAATAACCTTTTTTGTAGAGCGATTTGAGTGCTACTAAAAAGAGAAAAATTTAATTTAATTTAGTTTGATTTAAAATTTTTATTTCAATTCAAATTTAATCTAAATTTAAATAGATTAATTAATTAATTAAATAATTATTAGTTAATTAATTTAATAAATTTATTGAATTAATCAATTTAATTGAATTCAACTTTTTTTATGAGAAAAATTTTGCTATCTCCCTTAAATTTCGAGATATTCATTAAAAACTGGCCAATAATCAAAATCGACTTGAACCGTTTGACAACTTCACTATTAAATTGTCAAGTTAGATGTTCAGAATAGCCAAATGAGTTGGAAATGTTCAAATTCGTTTTATCTTCTAGGGTATGATTGCTCTGAGACGTAATGCAACAGCTGTTACTCACGAAGACTTGATGGAAGCCATCAACGAGGTGCAAGCCAAGAAGAAAGCAAATCTCAATTATTATGCTTAAAGTTGTTTTTTCAATGTAATTTATTAGGTTTTCATACGAATTATTCAACTGTAATCCCAACTCATATACATTCTTCAGAAAAATGAATAAACATTCACTTTATTTGGAAATTATGAGTCGAGTTAGTGATTTTTGGGAGTAATAAGTATAATTGAATAATAAAAATTAGAAAACCTGGGAATTGAACATTCCAACCTCCTCCTAGTACTGGGAAGACACTTCTGACTAGGGCCTGTGCAAGCCCAGAAAAACGCAAACATGAATTCTGCTTCTTTTTTGTTAAAGTAATTTATTAGGTTTTCATACGAATTACTCGACTGCAATCTCAACTCCTATACATCCTCTAGAAAAGTAAATAAATATCCAGTTGATCATTTTTGGGAGTAACAAGTTTAATTAGAAAGAAGGCATTTTGTTTTTATGTATTAAATCATGTCTTTAAAACGAAACGTTGTCTTATCCGCTTAATGACTCAAATACAAAATATTCTTCCCTGTTTTGTGATTAATTGAACATCAAGGAATCCGAATAGTGGTTGAAGGGTGTCTCATCGCCTCCTGTGACTTCTCCTCTTGATCCTAGAAAAATAAGAATGGCGGAATGAAAATTATAGTTGTATTTGATGATTTTTGATGGTGAAAAGTCCTGTTTAAACGGCAAATCTCACTTTTTCGGTCCCTTAACGAAGCACCAGTCGACGGAAATGGCCTGACCCAGTATCTCAGTCCCATTTAATGCCTCCTTGGCAGCCTGGGCCTCCTTGAATGTCTCGTATTCAACCAGTGCATATCCCTTCAAAAATCCAGTCCTCCTGTCGAGATTCAAATGTAAATTCTTTATCTGTCCATATTCAGAGAATTTATCCTGGATGTCGTCCTCCTGCGCCTCTTCGTGGACTGAATTTATGAACAAAATCCATCCTTCGACAGCTAGAAACAGCACGTGAGGTAAATAAGAAAATTACTAATCAGAAAAAGGACTAAATTAGAAAATTCATTCCCACTTTATCAGATTCTGGAGAATATCTCTGGATTGAATAGAGCTATCAAAAGATTCATATAAACTCTTTTGTGGAGAAAAAAAAAGACCTCCAAAGACAATCTTCACAAAAATTTCCATCTCCATCAGATGCAGAGTTATTCATCTAAAACTAGAATGAGAATTCAACACAATTTTCAACCTTTTCCTTTAAACTTCAAAATAACATCAAATTCGTTTGAATTATATGATTAATACTGAAGATATTGAAGAATGAGTATTTCCTATTCAGAACTTGATGTTTCCTTCCTTGAACTGATGAATGGATTTTTATATTTTATATTTCCACATCTCGATCTTGATATATTTTTAATAGGGGAGGGTGGGGTAAAACGGACACTTTAGACTTTTTTTTTTATTCATATCTCAGAAATAAATTGATCAATTGAGCTCAGTTTAGGTTCGTCACAAAGGCAAAGAGTTCTTCTTTGGATTGAAAAAAAAATTATTGATTTTTATCAACATTTCAACCCCTCATTAACATTTTTAAAAAAGTCAAGTGTCCGTTTTACCCCAATCTCCCCTACTAATGTTATCATTTCACTCAAACATTAAAACATTGAAGATTAAACAAAATCACGAAGAACTGAACCAGAAAATTCACCTCCATTTCATCACCTTTTGGAGAACATCTCTGGATTGAATACAAAGGTCACCCCAAAAATGTCCTCTCCACAGCTCCAGAGGTATTCATCAAAACTTTCGCATGAATTAATTAAATTTAATTAAATGAAATGAATGATGGAGGTAAATTAAAAAAATAATCAACTCGTTCCCCCAATCCCCCAAATAACCATCTCAACTCGTGAATACTCACATCTTTGGGGGCCAGGTTCATTGTCGTCATCCTCGACAACATTCATCGACTCATAATGTCCAACATCATCACGAGTGGACGCCAGTTCAGCTCCATGTCCCCTTCCCTTCCTCTTCTTCGCCTTCTCCTTGAGCCTGGCGATTCCCTCTGCGAATTTCCATCAAAATAACAATATAAATCGCAATAATAGTCATTGCTCACCCCATCAACATGACTATTGTGTCTTGACATCTTGAAAAACAAACACGCAACTAGGTTATGCCCCAAAAACGTGAAATCCCAAACTTCAATCGAAAAACCGAATAAAATACTCACGATCGCCTTCATCGTCGACCTCGAACTCCTCGGCGTTATCAATATCCAGAACATCCGCCATATTCGCGAATAAATCCCTCAAAACAATGGCAGATCACCTGAGGAAGCGGCACGCGTCAGGAAAAACTTTTTGGAGCAACTGAAAGGCTCGTTCGCACAGAACTACAGCGGCCAGTGCACGCTCCCCTTGATAAACTTAACCTCCAAAGGCACAAGGCCAAACAGGCCTCGTTGATCGTGCAAACCACCCCGTGCGTTCGCTCCTCTCAGCTTAAATGTTTCATTGAAAATTCGGTTCTTTATCAAGTGAACTCGGCAGTTATCACACATGGACACGACCCTGACGGCCCCGGAGGACCAGCCGGAGCACGAGTGCACAATATTCAACACCATCTCACGTGAGTTTGATACTTTTGAAGTGTTCGGGATTGGTAGGAGGTTATGAAGTGCTCGATGTCTTCGAGGGGTTCATTTCGAAATGTTGGAGGTAGATGAGTCTAGGGTGGCCAGTAATTTTTGGGGGGACGGTCGTTGGTTGGAGGACTATCTTGTTGGGGAACTTTTTTGTTGAAGAATTGTTGTCGATGATCTGATGGACTCTAGGGAAGCTGTCGTCGAGGATTCCTTTATTCTTTTGGAGTAGGTGTTGAAGAATTGGAGTATAAATAAAATTTATGGTCATTAGGGAAATTTTTTATGTTAATTTTTGTTTTCTACTTTTAAAAATTGGGAAAAAACAATTCACGATGGAATTCTTTCCATCTCGAGGGTTCCTTTATTCTCTTGGAGTAGGCGTTGAAGAATGGAATTATAAATAAAATTGATGGTCGTTATGGAAATTTTTTTATATTAATTTATGTTTTCTACTTTTTAAAATTGGAATTCTTGTTGAGAATCTGATGGGCTCTAGGGAAGCTGTCGTCGAGGGTTCCTTTATTCTTTTGGAGTAGGTGTTGAAGAATTGGAGTAGAAATAAAATTTGTGGGCATTAGGGAAATTTTTTATGTTAATTTTTGTTTTCTACTTTTAAAAATTGGGAAAAAACAATTCACGATGGAATTCTTTCCATCTCGAGGGTTCCTTTATTCTCTTGGAGTAGGCGTTGAAGAATGGAATTATAAATAAAATTGATGGTCGTTATGGAAATTTTTTTATATTAATTTATGTTTTCTACTTTTTAAAATTAGAATTCTTGTTGAGAATCTGATGGGCTCTAGGGAAGCCGTCATTGAGGGTTCCTTTATTCTTTTGGAATAGGTGTTGAAGAATTGGAGTATAAATAAAATTTGTGGGAATTAGGGAAATTTTTTATGTTAATTGTTTTCTACTTTTAAAAATTGGGAAAAAACAATTCACGATGGAATTCTTTCCATCTCAAGGGTTCCTTTATTCTCTTGGAGTAGGCGTTGAAGACTGGAAATATAAATAAAATTGATGGTCATTATGGAAATTTTTTTATATCAATTTATGTTTTCTACTTTTTAAAATTAGAATTCTTGTTGAGAATCTGATGGGCTCTAGGGAAGCTGTCGTCGAGGGTTCCTTTATTCTTTTGTAGTAGGTGTTGAAGAATTGGAGTAGAAATAAAATTTGTGGGAATTAGGGAAATTTTTTATGTTAATTTTTGTTTTCTACTTTTAAAAATTGGGGAAAAACAATTCACGATGGAATTCTTTCCATCTCAAGGGTTCCTTTATTCTCTTGGAGTAGGCGTTGAAGAATGGAATTATAAATAAAATTGATAGTCATTATGGAAATTTTTTAATATTAATTTATGTTTTCTACTTTTAAAAATTGGGAAAAAACAATTCACGATGGAATTCACGATTCTTGTTGAGAATCGGATGGGCTCTAGGAAATCCGTCATCGAGAGTTCCTTTATTCTTTTGGAATAGGTGTTAAAGAATGGGAATATACATAAAATTGATGGTCGCTAGGGAAATTTTTTACATTATTTTTTGTTTTTTACTTTTAAAAACTGCGAAAAAACAATTCAAGAAGGAATTTTTGTTGATGGCTTAGTAGATTCTGGGGAAGCCACCGTCATGTGTTCTTTCATTCTTTTAAAATAGGTATTAAAGAATGATATAAATAAAACTGATGGTAAGTCGGCAAATTTTTATTGTTAATTTAATTCAATTTTTTAAGAATTTTGTTGACGTTCAATAACTGGTTGGTAATCCATGTTTTCGTCACCTACACTGAGAAAAAAACAAACACGTTATCAAACAAGTCTTGTTTGGGCCAACAAAATCGCTAATTGACAATTGCCAAAAAAGAATTTGTTGGGCTCGAATGTGAAAGTCTCAACATGAATTGCTCTGCTTTCGATAGCATCGAAATATTTGGCTCACGAGGCGGATAAATCACACAAATATTATCAGCAAATATTTTATCCCAAAGTTACAAGATTGCTATCATATCATTATTATTGTTTCATTTAAGGGTTCATTTCTTGTCTGCGATTATTACACAGCCGAAACGAAAAACTACTATCCCTTGTTTCGCATAAAACAAACATTTTTCGGGAGCAAAATCCGTAGGGGATTATTGAATAACGTAGGAGTAGTGCTAGAAATGACATGTCTTGCGTGGATAAAGAATGCAATTTTTTTTTAACTAAATCTATTTTAGCGACAAAAATTTTTCATTCCGGCGCACTCTGCATGTTTGGCACAAAAAATCCTTCTTTGAAAATTTTCAAAAAACTATTTTCTTGGCACAAGTACGACTTGTTTGAGAATTTTGTCGTTTTTCCCCCAGCGTAGTTGTTGAAACTCCCCAAATAATCGTCTCCGCGTATTCCCCAAGACCCCGGCCTCCGCGTTCTCTCAAACCCAAAAAACCCTCGAAAATGAACTCAAAGATTTAGCCCGCATCTCCTCCTTCATGTCCCCAGAGCTCCGTAAAATCGACGTGCAATTAGCGGGCCCAGTAGTCCTCCACGCGATAACCCACACAACCCGTCTAAAGTCTCGCTTCGAGCGCAACTCGATAAACAGTAAAACCCCCGAATCAACGGACGACGAAGACGAGGAGGAGAATCTCATAGAAGACGATCTCGACTACTTGCGCTCCCTCGACCCAAAAGAATGGAAGAACCAGGACCACTACGCAGTCCTGGGTCTCAAGAAGCTCCGCTTCGAGGCCTCCGAGGACATGATAAAACGCGCCTACAAACAGAAGATCCTGAAGCACCACCCAGACAAGCGTAAAGCAATGGGCGAGGAGATTCGTCCAGACGACGACTACTTCACATGCATAACCCGCGCCTGGGAGATGCTGGGGAATCCCGTGAAGAGACGAAGCTACGACAGCACAGATCCGTTCTTCAACGACGATCTCCCAGACGAGAAAGACGCTAAAGTGGAGTTTTACGAGACAATGGGAAAGACGTTTGAGGCGAATGCGAGGTGGTCGGTGAAGCAGCCAGTCCCCAAGCTTGGAGATCCAGACACACCACGTGACAAAGTAGAGAGATTCTACTCCTTCTGGTACGATTTCGATTCCTGGAGGGAGTACTCTTACCTAGACGAGGAGGACAAGGAGAGTGGCCAGGATCGTGACATGAGAAAGTGGATCGAGAAGAAGAACAAAGCGACGAGGGCTAAGCGAAAAAAGGAGGAGATGCTGAGGATTCGTACACTGGTGGATGTGGCCTACAACGCAGACCCCAGGATCAAGAAATTCCAGCAGGAGGATAAGGACAAGAAGACGGCTGTCAAGAGGGCTAAGCAGGAGGCGGCGAAGGCCAGACAGCTGGAGGAGGAGAGGCTGGCCAAGGAGGCTGCTGAGAAGGAGCGCGAGGAGAGGATCAAGAGGGAGTCCGAGGAGAAGGCGAGGCAGGACGCGTTGAAGCAGGAGCGCGAGGCGCAGAAGAAGGCGCTCAAGAAGGAGAGGAAGGCCCTGAGGGACTTGTGCAAGTCGCAGAACTACTTCTCGGAGAGTCCGGCAGAGAGCATAAGGCACATGGAGTGCGTCGAGAAGTTCTGTGAGCTGTTCAAGCTCAATGAGCTTGAGGAGGCGACGAAGGAGATCCAGCGGGACGGGAGGAGTGGATTTCTGAAGATTGTCGCCGATACTGAGAGTAGGATCAAGGCCGAGCGGAGGGCGCAGGTGACGAATCACTCGGATGTTAGGAATAATTCACACGAGAAGCAGAGTAAAGGGGGCTCTGTGCCATGGGGCGAGGGGGATCTGCAGTTGCTGATTAAAGCTGTCAATCTTTTTCCCGCTGGGACCAATCAACGCTGGGAGGTGGTTGCCAACTTTATCAATCAGCATGCGAATAATGGGATGACGAGGAATGCGAAGGAGGTTCTGGCCAAAGCGAAAGATCTGCAGTCGACGGACTTCAGCAAGTCGAGTATGAAGGAACAGGCTAATAAGAATGCTTTCGATAATTTCATTGCTGAGAAGAAGAGCAAGGAGGCCATCGATGAGAGAATGCCTGCTGTCACGGAGAGGTTGGATCCTCCTGTTGCCAGCAATGGACCTGGGAATAATGCGGGGAAGGATCAGCCGTGGACGCCCGCGGAACAGCAGCTACTGGAACAGGCACTCAAGACTTACTCCAGCACAACTGGACCTGAGAAGTGGGATCTCATTGCTGGATGCATACCTAGTAGGACTAAGAAGGAGTGCATGAGGCGATACAAGGTAATTTTGTTGGGGTGACAATTATTTCGTTCATGCTTTAAGGTCGGGGGGTTATCTTTCGAACGCTATCTCGATTGTTTTTGCTGCTTCGTAATGTAAAATTTATCATAATTTTTGTTGGATTTTACAACACGCAGGAATTCTCTTCAAGAACCTTTTACAGATCGGTAGAAGTATTTATTATCAATGAATGAATTTTGCTGAAGTTCAGTTTTGGAGAAGAAGTATTTATAATTAGAAGTATTCGTTATAGAGATACACTAAAAGGGTTTATTGTCAACAAATCAATTTTGCTGAAGTTGAATTTTGAATAATCATACCTGGGGTGTCGCCAATTACAAAATCATGGCTTATCAATTGTCCATTATCTATCGACATGAAGGAATGAGGGAATGAGGGAATGAAGGAATGAATTCTCACATTCGAAAATAGCACAAACCTTTGACCTGGATTTGTTTCTTCCTTCTTGCAGGAGCTCGTGGAGCTGATCAAGGCGAAGAAGGCAGCCCAGAATATCAAACAATAGCCAACAGTGATTGTGTGTGCCTGAATTGAATGTATTTTAGATAATGGAGGAGAGGATCAATAAATATTCCGGCACACTGTATATCGGCTTGTAAAATATTAGCAAATACAATAAATTTCAAATGATTGTTTGATCGGTGATTGAAATTCCAGTATTTCACTTGAAAAATAACTAAACAACATTACGATTAGTTGGAATTACGTTTATGGGCTTTTTTACACATAATGATTTTATATAAATGAATTATATTAAAAGATTAGTTGAATGGAGAACAACTGGGATTTGTCGAAATGTTCATAATTTTTTTTTTCTGTTGAATGATGAAATACGAAGATTAATCCCAGTTCCTTAAAATCTTCTAGTAATTAAATTTAAAAAGTCCAAAAATGCAATTTCTCAAAACTTCGGTATTCACACAAGAATCCTGTGGAGATTCCCGTATTCAATTCAACACAATTTCAACAACGACATGAACAACTGAATTACACTGAGAGAAAAAATTAGTTCTGCCGAAAAATTACATGTTCCCCTGAAGAGATATTTTGTCGTGTTCACCAAAACATGATAATTTTCGTAGTAGTAATTGTTTTCGTGAGTAATTTATATGTCTTTCCGGTAAATACACTCGTTCTGCAGAGAATTATATGAGGCTCCGGTTTTATCAAGTGAATGTTATTGAGTAGTGTATATCTTTGTCCAATAAACATTTATAATTTCCACGGAACAAATGATAATTTCAAGAGGAAACTACAATTTTCTTGCCGAAAACTGTGTTATTGGCAAAACTAAATAATTTCGAGGGGACAATTTTTTTTGGGAAAAACATATTCTCTCGTCAATGTATTCTGTCTATGGTATAAACCTATAGAGTTCTCTCAGTTCAAATGATTGTTGTACAATAGATTATATTTTTTCCTGCCAACAGTTCGAATTCTTCTAGGGATATTTCTGAGGATCAGGACAGAAATTTAATTTTTGTGAAAGATGTTAAATTTCCTGTGCAACACATAGTTTTTTGGCAGAGTTAATTTTTTCTCTCACTGTAATAACAGAATAACTCACTGGATTCTCGGACGATCAATGAATACTCCAATTGTTAATTTTCATAATTTATTTACAATTTCTTTGGTTCTCCATACATAGAAGACCCACCTGGATCTTCTGTTTATATAAATCAATTATAAACGATTACAATATTTCATTAAAATTAAACAAAGTCCAATACACGATTTAATGAGGATGAAACAGTGTTTAGAATTTTTCGTATTTCTTTAAAATTACTTCACCAACAGAATCGTGCAAATTTCCTATCTACATTGTTATCAATGCGAATCATCAGTACCCCTTAATTTCATATATCAATTTTATTAATTTTCAAGAATTCTCTCGCTCTCTCTCTCCCTGTGAATAATTCACAATACAAGTGTATATATTTACACACAATATTATTCAACAAATAATTTTTTTCACATCAACGGCACTCGGAAAAATATGTTCAAATAAGTCCGTTGTAATGTCATCGTTCTTCAACTCCACATTTTCCTAATACGCTTTCGCATTTATTCTTCTAACTAAACTTCTCCTACAACGTGCCTCAATTTAATTCTCCAATGTTTTTTCGATGGATTTGTATTCATCACTAATTTATTTATTGATGTACTCCGAAAAAAAGCTGAACCAAGAGTTTAATTTCCGAATGAATAGTGATTAGCTCGACTTACGATGGCAAAGCCACTTATAAAATCAGGCACTCAGTAAATGACATATTGGCTGCATAATAAAAAACACTGCACTCAACATTATTCTTTTTGTGCAAAGTATTTGGTCGCAATTGAGTTTTGGACACTAAACAATGAGTATATTCAATAGGGGGGCGAACTAAAATCCAATAGACGTAACAATTGTCAGTTCGATAAAAATACGAGAGTAGATTCTTCTCTTTAATCGTAAACTCCGTAGCCCCTGTAGTTTTTTTTTCTTTCTTGTTATCATTATTTTTAATCACAGTAAAATTCTATAAACGGCGTGGAATCTACAAAAAAAAATCTAACGGTATGAATTCAGTAGTGGAGTGGGGGTGCGTCATAACATGAATGGAAACATTCAGGAGGAAAACCCAGGGCTTCAGCTATATAGAATATTCCATTTATTTTTGTCAATCGTGTTTTGTAGAAAAAGTCTGACTGTCTACATTTTTGCGCGTTTTCTGCATTTTGTTTCGTTTCTCATTACAAAATCGGAGAGGGAAACTTGGAGAATGTCAAGGAATTCTCATGAGAGAAAATCAGAAAAAGAATTCCTCTTGAATTTTTTTCGTAGGTAAAATCAATTTCAGAATGAGCTAATTTTAATTTTTATTTGAAAAATGTACTTAAAATAGTATTTGGATAGTTCAACTCCAAAAAATACTATTTAGTTTTGAAATATTTTCAGTTCATTCAACGAGACATTGAAGCAGATCAAGTAAACAATAATTATCAAATCGTAACAGTATTTAACGATCCATTGAAGAATTATTAAAATAAAATATTTCATATAATTTCCCTTTATAAAAAAATATTTTCGAGCACTGAGAGAAAAAATTTGCTTTGCCGAAAACCTTTACGTTCCACGTAAGAATATTTGATGGAGTGGACCAGATTAACTTGAGGAATATTAGCCAACTTGATAGAAGGAAATTTAATATCTTTCACAAAAATTGAATTTTCGTCGCGATCATCAGAAATATTCCTAGAAGAATTCGAATTGTTGGCAGGAAAAAATATAATCTATTGTACGACAATTATTTGATCTGAGAGAACTCCATAGGTTTATACCATAGACAGAATACATTGACGAGAGAATATTTTTTTCCCAAAAAAAATTGTCCCCTCGAAATTATTTAGTTTTGCCAATAACACAGTTTTCGGCAAGAAAATTATTGTTTCCTCTTGAAATTATTATTTGTTCCATGGAAATTATAAGTGTTTATTGGACAAAGATATACACTACTCAATAACATTCACTTGATAAAGCCGGGGCCTCATATAATTCTCTAGAACGAATGTATTTACCCGAAAAACATAAATATCTCACGAGAACAATTACTACTACGAAAATTATCATGTTTTGGTGGAACACGACAAAATATCTCTTCAGGGGAACACGTAATTTTTCGGCAGAACTAATTTTTTCTCTCAGTGGTAGCTTGACCTCTTCCGACATGAAATCCACTCTCATTTCGCCACTTCACTACTGAATCATTACTCCCTGTCAATATCATATTTCAACATCTGTAAATCCCTCATTTACAATTTGTTTTAAGTACAAAAAAGATATTTAGACAAAGACAGTTGGTAAATACAATAAGGACAACGTCGAAAAGCGAGTTTTACACGATAAAATTTTTATTTATTTATTGTATAATAGTTCACTCGTGATTCATATTTCTCCTAGCCCCCCCTCCATTATTTTCTGTTTGAATTACCTAATTTTCATAGTTTACCACAATCATCTCTCCACTAACTTCCCAATGTAATGAGTAACGCATTTAACACCATGAGGGCTTGATTTTATTTAATTTACCAGTCGAATGCAGATGCGTATACAATCGAAGAACAACGTATTATTCAAAACTCAATGATTAACATACTTTTGTTTGTTTCTAGGTTGATAAAAGGTATTCTCTGGTCCGAAATTAATTATTATTAAATACTTAGGCACTTGTTATGTATATATAGTTTTATATATTGTATTTATGAATTTATATATTCCTCTGGTATTACACGAACGAAAGAATTTCATAGGAAAACCTTGCGAATTTGCTAGAAATTCGTGTTGGATTTATTGAATTGTCTATTGGTTTTTGGCCAATTTCAATGGGAAATTCCGCAGTTTATCTGCAGTTTTTTCCCAAAGAAATGTTCGATTGAGAATATTTTATAGGAAAAATTGATAGAATTCGATTGTTCCATAGAACTTATTCTATTAATATCTTTTCTATAGAAATTCCTCGGCTGAAATCTTATGATTTTTTTGTTTTATTTCTTTGATGAAATAAAGCGGTAAAACTTGAAAAAATCATTTCGAGAAATTCCTATAGAAAAATGAAATTCTACTGATTTTTTTGCACAAAATAATTCGTATTGGACATTTTCTAAAAAAATTCTTCAATACTATTGCAAAATTCCTCACCTTTTCTGTGCTTTCTTCAATAGAAATATTCAATGGAAAATGGTTTCTATAAAAAATCAATAGAATGCAATTATTTTACGCAACTTATTCTATTCAGATATTTCCTCTAAAAATTCCCCGGGTCAAATCTTCCGAGTTTTTTAGTTCGATTCTTCTAACGAAAAGAGAAAAAAATAGAGCGGCCAAAACTTAGGAAATTCATGTCGAGGAATTCCTATAGAAAATGTCTCAATAGCGAAAATTGTATAAAAATATGGAATTCCAGTGATTTTTCGATTAAATAGTATCCATTCTGTATTAAAAAAACGCAATTAAGTTGCATAATTGTTCAATAGAATTGACCAAAAATCTATAAAAATCCAGTAGAATTCTCCATCGAATCCCCTAGATTTTCCGACAGAATTTTTTCGTGCGGGCACGCTCATTCATTCGCACACTTCACGTTATCGATGATTATAATTACCCCCCTTTCTGAATACTAGAGATGATGACGACGATTACAACTTGTGAAACAGGACTGTATAACAATATAACTGCATAACTCTTCATTCATTCCTTGAGTATCGTCATTTACCTTGATGCAAACTATCTCTTTAAAATTTAATGACAGTTATTTCTTTGTCCAGACAAATGGGTAGTCACAGTATTTGTCAACAATGAGATTAATTCTTTATTAAAATCCACAGTTATAGGTGGTAGTGACAATAGAGAGATTCAATGATTCTTTGGAAATAGCTGATTAGAATTTTAAAATTTTCTGAATGGATTGTTTTTCAATTCGATTACTTTGTTGTCGGTTTTTCCTTACTCACCATCAGCACTGTGTTCACATTCAGTGAATTAATGATTTTAGAATGCAACTTTTGAATGGAATTTGAGAATAATGGGAATTACTAATAATTCTTTGGAAATATGTCATCTGATGTGGAAGACAAAGAACCGGAGGATTTTTTTGCAAGACTTCGCGAGAATAATTGAAATATGAGAAAATTGAAGTGGAAATTTTATGAGAATTCTTTTGAAATTGTTTCCAAAAATTTAATCAGTTTTCGCGTCAAATTACCAGGTTTCATAATTTTCAACAGATAGTTGATTTTTCTATGTAATTTATTATTCCGTTGGGATTTCTCTTGCGAAAATTGACGACAATGAATTCATCTTGTTCTATTTTCTGAATTTTATAATAAAGAAGTACAAGAGAAACTTTTTGCTACAATAAATCTCACGAGAATTATTGATACGTCAAAATAAAGATTAATAAATTTTTTTGAATTCATTTCAATCTAATTTTAGTTTCACGTATGAAAAAATTAAATAGAAAATTCTAGGCAATTCTCGTTAAAATTCTATTGATTTTTTGCGCAGATTCCGTTGGATATTTGACAGGAAAGTCAATAGATTTCCATTTTTCTGTTCGAATTTTTCTCTTGAGATTTTTTGTGTTAAAATTATTGGGCTCGAATTTTCCAAGTTTCTTCCACTATATCTTGTTTGTTTCGCATTACAGGATCCGAGTGAAAAAAAATAGAAAATTCATGCTCAAGTATTCTTGTAGAAAAATCAAAATCGAATCCCAATAGAATTTCTAGAAAATTCACTAAATCTTTCGATTGAATTTATTCACAAATATTTTCCTTCATATTTTTTTCCCATCATATCATTCGATCGTGACATTCCTAAATTCGCAATCATGTAATATAAATTGAAAGTGAAGCCACCCTGCAATTCTTTATATTCCACGAGCTAAAAAAAATAAATACAAAAGATGAAACGAATTCTCCTATTCCTCACGTTTCACCATTTCTTTCGCAATGACTGACGAATTTTAAAATACAAATTTCGAACTGAAACCGATGAGTAACATGAATTCGTTGCTAATGAGTGGTTCGAGCATTACCTGGAGACTTCTTAGCCGCTAAGAAGGCGGCTGTTCTCGATACATCTGCTGCTGCTGTTGCTGCTGTGACTGAGGCTGAAGGGATAATTGTGGCTGCTCTAATGAGGGCATTTGTTCCCGCAGTTGCTCGTAAGCCACTTCTCTTGGGCCCTGGGGTCTTGGATTCCAGTGTTGATCCATACTCTGTTGTAGCTGGAAGGTCAACGGTTGTCCTCGACGCTCACGCAGCAGTAGCTGATGCGCAGCACGGTCCATCTCTTCTCGAGTCATGTCAAGGGCCTCCTGCATCTCACGCGATGTGTAACGCACGAAATCTGGGTCACAGTATTTACCTAATCCTTGTTCAGCTAATACCTGCAGTGAGTGACACGCCTTGTTAAGGGATCGTGTGGATAATTGTTGTTTTACAAAAGTGACGTGTGAAAAAATTTATTGGAAAAACCCAGCGAATTCGCTAGACAACTCTGAAGAATTTCCATTGAACTTCAGGGATAGCCATATCCATAAATTAATAAATAAATAAGTGAATAAACTTTAATTATTGAAGTAATTATCAATTCCAGAATTCAAGTTCAGAATTATTTATTAATCAGTAATTTAGTTACGAAGATTGACTGATGAGAAATTTAGTATTATTTTCTTAATGAAAAATTTAGTTTCATGTGATAAAATATTTAATTCATCATTAATTGGAAATTTAGATCATCAATTATTTTAATACTTTTAAATTTCGATTTGGATATTTAAACCTTAATCAATGTAAGTCGGAAATTCTTTTCATATTGAAGAGATGGATTTAAAAAATTTTGAGGAAGACAAAGACATTTTCTATCACCCGAATGAAATTTCGAATAACTTGTGTTTTGTGTATTTTTTTTATCTCACAGACAATACTTTATTCCTCTTTAACGTAATTCCTCTTCATTCAATGTTGTAACTTGCGAATTCATAGAGAATTAATAAAATGAACTTGAGAATGAATACAATTAAATTAATCTAATTGTGAAGACGGAAATGGAAAGAAAATAAAATAGTGTCAATTAATCTAGTCCTTAAGGGCTAAGAGAAGGCCATCGTTTTCTCGAAATTTTTAAACCAATTTCCTGCTCGAAGTTGTTAATATTTTTCGAACCTAAAGCACATTGACCTTCATCATCACCTCCTGGAGATTAATGTGCTTCGATTTGTAAAAATATTAATGTGCTTCGATTTATAAAAATTTGGAAAATTATCAGCATTCTGTCACCCCTTCACGTGTAGAAAAATTCAATAGATAACCTAGCGAATTCGCTAGAAAATTCTATTGGAATTCTATTGAAAAATTTTATTCTTTTTTTGTGCTGATTCTATTGGATATTCGATAAGAAAGTCAATAGATTTAGAATTTCTGTTTGAATTTTTCTCGAGATTTTTTCTACAAGAATGCTTGGGCATCAATTTTCCAAGTTTTTCCCACTAGGATTCTGCACTGCAAAACAAAACAAAATCCAGCAGAAAAAACTTAGAAAATTTGTGCCCAATAATTCTAACAGAAAAAATCTAAGAGGAGAATTCAAGCAGAAATTGGAAATCTGTTGACTTTTTCCTATTGAATATACAATAGAATCAGCGCAAAAAACAAATAGAATTTTTCAACAGAATTCCACTAGAAATCCCATAGAATTTCAATAGAATATTCTAGCGAATTCGCGTTAACAACAAGATTATGACTAAAAAACAGCATTTCTATGAAAAACATAAATGAAACCACTCAAATCCCCCGTCCACCCCCAAAACGCCGCCAAATACGACTCACCCGTCCCACCAAGCTCTCAGCACTCCCAATGACCTCGAAGTTGGGCTTCCTATCGGACGGACTGCCCGGCAAGCTGTGCGACAACCTCTCCGAGCCGACGCCCCCATTGCTCTCACCGGCCCACGAAACTGTTGAGAATCATGACCCCCAATTGATCATCAAAATTCCCCAAAAACCTGCCTCTCATCTGACGCACTCCACCGCCATCCCCCGCCCAAATCCAAAAAAAAATCGATGCCCGCTGGAGTGCACCAGACGAACACTCTAAACTGCCAATAAAGTGTGATACTCTGTGGTTCTGTATAATAGAAAAAAAAACGCGTGCCTTGCAAAGCATTGTTAATTGGGTTAGTGTGTACAAAAGCTCAGATAGTGCATGCATCGAGCAACTTCAATTGACATTTCTCTCCCCCTCGAATTGTTCAAGACATTTCGAATGTTTTTTTTATCCGATGAAACATCACCTCTGCCGTGGAAGGAGGCCCGATGCGACAGACAGGACTCGCAAACCCGCCACTGGCGTGCATCGACATCAGCGAAGAAGCCAGCAACAGCGATGGCCTGTGTCTGCGCCAATTTAAGCCCATTAGCAATGCTCCTCTCACCGTGCGAGCAGTCTTTGGCCTTATCATCATCGTCATCACTCTTGTGAGACTTTCGCGATCTCACCGATGAGTATTTACCCTCGCTCGAGCCCTCCCTGTGCTTGCTAGAGCGCTTCGACGAGCCCTTCGACCGATTCGACGATCGTTTCGACGATCTTTTCGACGAACCCTGCTTACTCCGTTTACGCTGTATAACTCCTGTATTACCCTCGTTCGGCGACATTCCCTTATCAATGTCATTTGCATTATCTTCATTTCCGCCGGCAGGGGCTGAGCACCAATATAGACAGACAGACAACACAGACTGACAAAACCCTCGTCGATTTTTTCTTTTAATTTATAAAAATCATGTCCAATCATTCTAGCATTTGCTTTTGACATCGATCGAAGAGACACTCGGGGTGGAAATGAAAAATGTACGAATGTAAATGAAAAATCTCCAATAAAGTGCATGTCGTGCATTAAAATTTTCCATCCGAATGAACGAAATGAGAAGAACGTAACCGAAATGAAGAGCTTTTTTCATGGTTCAGGGGTTTTTATGGACCAACTGTTTTAGCGGAATTTATCGTACCATGCTGTTGCTTCCAGCCGGGAGTATCGGGACAGCATCCACGTGTCGCATAAGCGTAATAGTGCGCCCCTTCGTTGGACGATGAGGCAAATGATGGCGATGGACTTAGGGTTGGCGAGGGTGTGCGACTTGTTGTTGCGCTACTCGATTCGGCGTTACCACTGGTGCCTGTTGCAAATGTTATGGCAGCACCACTTGGTAGATTCCTTCTTGGGGGTGGGGTTGGTGGTGTCAACTGTTGCTCAATTCCATCCTCGAGACTGCACACAATACACGCCGACAGGGATAACAAAAGCGTGGGGATGTGGTTTTCGCTTCCGAATGGAAGCTTTGTTGTCGCGCAAATATTACGTTTCAATTTTTTATGTTGGGATAGTTAAATGTGGTCTAAATAGTCCGAATATCACGCACGGAAAAATTTAGTGGGAAAACCTAGCGAATTCGGTGGAACATTCAATAGAAACGCAATAGAATTGAGTAGTTGGTCTGGAAAATCCATTGTTTTTCAGTAAAAAAAAAATTCTGGTTATTTATTTTGAGAATAATTCCGGTTCCCCTCCTACTTGATCCAAATCCCATCCAATCATTTTCTGTGACGTCACAAAGATAGGGAATGTGATATAAATTCCCTTCTTCAATATAAAAACCATTAATACAAAATTAAATAGAAACTCAATAGAATTTTATTTATTTAAATTAAGGTGTATTGACATTCTATTTTTTTTTATTTATTTATTTTTTATTTTTTATTTTTTCATTTTTATTATATTTTACTGGGAAGAATTACTATTATTTCAAATAATTGACTTTTTAGTTTTATAATTACACATTTTATTATTATTATTATTATTATTATTATTATTATTATTATTATTATTACAGGTATATATGTATACAACTGTATATCGCCACCGTCCTTCGAACAGAAAATTCAATAGAAACTCAATAAAATTTTCTATTAGTTTTTGGCCGATTCTATTGAAATGTTCAAGAGAAAACGTCAATAGAATTCGATTTTTCTATTCAACTTATTCTCTTCGGATATTTTCTATACAATTTCCTCGGCTCAAATTTTCCAAGTTTTTTCGCTTGATTTTCTTGATGAGAAGAAAAGAAAAATGGAATGAAAAAAACTTATAAAATTTGAGTCGAACATTTTCTATAGAAAATATATGAAAAGAATAAGTTATATAGAAAAATCGAAGTCTGTTGACTTTTTCTATTGAATGTTTTCTATTACATGCCAATAGAATCAGCCAAAAACTAATAGAAAGTTTAATAGAATTTTCTAACGAATTCGATAGTTTTTTCTATTGACTTTTTTCGTGCGTGAGGGCCTGAATGTAGAATCATTTGAAATAAGAATTTTAAAAAAGAATCCATTCGGAAGCAAATTGCTAATTTATGAGCAACAATAACTCCTCATTTATAAAAAAACGTTATCCACTTGTTTCATTTGATCCCGATACCGAAAATGTTATGGTTTTTTTCGTTCCTCTGGAATTTCTCAATAGTTTCATTATTACCGAATCATTGGAACGACTTTACGATATCTAGAGTAGTGGACACTGAGGTATCAGATGCAGGTGGAATCGTGCAGTGGATGGTGGATTAAATTATTAGAATGAGGCCCATGCGATTAAGCATCGCAATTTCACTAGATTTAAGCAGTAAAGTAGAGGGAGGATAATTTATTTATGAAACAACAATTCTTACCGTACTCATTGCCTGGATGGAGATAGTTACCGCCATCTGGGCCGCTGAAATTTACGACAGTAAAACAGAAGCAGTGGAACGACGATCGAAATAAAGCGGAAGTTGTAACACGCATGGAGAAATTGAGGAGATAAAACAGCGCTTTGTCCACGAAATTTTGTTGAAATTCGTTCTTTTGGAGTCGATTTCTATCGAAATTTTGGTAGAAATCAATGGATTTTTATTTCTCTATTGAAATTATCCTCTCGAGATTTTTTCTGCTGAAATTTTTGGGCATCAATTTTTTTGGCTTTTTGCGTTATTTTTTTTTTGGTGTTAGAAAATGTGGGTTTAAAAATTTTTGTAAGGGAAATTTTAAGAGAGAAAGTCAAGCATCAGACGTTTACTGACGCTCGTTGTACAGTATTTAATAGAAATCGGCACAAAAAATCGATTTTTTATTAAATTTCGATAGAATTCTTGACGAGTTTCAAGAGACATTCAATAGAATTCCGTTTTTATGGAGAAATTTGAGTGGAAAAATTCTCTTGATTAGTCATGGCTTTTTAACGATATTATTCGCATAATTTTCATTAGAAATCGGCATAAAAGAGTAGATGTTTGATAGAATGTGAATTTTTGATAGAATGAGAGTTCCAGGGGACATTGAATTTGATTTTTTTCCTCACAAAATGAGTATTTTCTTTAAAAATCTGAATAGAAAAGTTCTTGATTAGTCATTCCTTCATTTCTTCATAAAAAAAACAAGGAATTTTGATAAAATGTCAATAGAATTCTCAAAGAATTCCAAAAGACATTCAATAGAATGTTTTCGTTAGGCTCAATTCCAAAAGGCAATTCAATAGAAATCGATAAAAAAATAAAATATTGATAGAATATTGATAGAATTCCGGAAAAGATATTCAACAGAAATTTTTCCTTATGAAGTCAGCATTTTCTTCAAACATTTGAGTATAAAAATTCTTTTCATTAACTTCAAAACTCGAAGATTAATTTTGCAAACTTCAATATTTGCGTAAACCAAAAAATTTGAATCCTCATAGAATTTCTCAGAAAAAGTGCTGTTGTCCTACGAAATTTCTCCGTGAACATAGGAATTTCTATATAACGGGATGAAAGAATAATAAAATGACTAGTAAAGGTTGAAACTACACAGATATGAATATTTGTTCTGAAATCGATGTTGTCGAATGTCTGGAGAGTTTCGGATGCACCGATACTAATTTCCGTGCACTAGTTAACGTGTCACGTGAACATGATCATTCTAATGTTTTCTTGGGGACTTACTCCAACACTTTGTAGGGATTCTGGTAGTTCGCCGGCTGCATTCCCGAGTTGGCATTGGCGAACATTGCCAGTGGGCGCATTGGGATGTTCTCCTCGGCGCCCATTTGATTGATGGGAGTGCTGCCAGTCACCCTGGAAATTACGGAGAATATTTCATGAGACACGGGGCACCTCCCCACGAATTTTATTGATCGGGCCAAAATTTCTAACGGAAAATTTCATAGAAAAATGTACGAAATTCAGTAGAAATTCTTACGGAATTTCTACTGAACGTCTGTTGAAATTATTCAACTTATTAAACTATTCGTTTAAATAAAATGATTAAACTATTAGTTTTTGCAAGATTGTCAAGACAAATTCCACAGCTTTACTGCTCGTTTTTGATAGAATATGTTCTGTAGAAACTATTTTATAGAAAAAATTGGAAGAATTCCAAATTTCTATACAATTTTTTCTATAGGAATTTCTGAATATGAATTTCCTTTGATTTTTTTCCACTGGACTTTTCTTCATTTTTTATTAATAAAATTGAACGAAAAAAATTGGAAATTTTGAGGCTACAAATTTGTACAGAAAATATCTCAATGCAGTTTAGGAAAATCAAATTCTAGTGATTTTTTATATAGAATATTTTTTATTGAAAAAAGAGAGCAAATAAACTGATGCATTTTTCAATAGAATTAACCAAAAAATAATAGAAAAATGAGTAGGAATCCAATAGAATACTCTAGCGTATTCGGTACAAAATTTTAATAATTTTTAACTCATTTTCTTCCATTGAAAAAAGTTCAACGGAAACTATTTTATTGAAAAAATTACTAGAATTTCATTTTTTTACGTAACTTTTTCTATCGATATATTTTCTGTAGGAATTCCTCAACATGAATTTTCCAAGTTCTTTCCACTCTATTTTTCTCCCCTTTCCATTACAAAAAGTCGACCAAAAAAGCTAAAAAATTTCAGCCGAGGAATGTCTACAGAAGATACTTCAATATAATAAGTTATATAGAAAAATCTAACTCTAGTGATTTTTTTAGTAGAATATTTCCAATTGAATACTTCTATTTAAAAAATGCAGATAAACTGCAGAATTTTTCAATAGAATCGGCCAAAAACTAACAGAAAAATCAATAGAATTTTCTAAAAATTGAGTAGGTTTTTTGATGAATATTCTTTCGTACATGAGAGACTACGTACCCTGTCACATTCGGCACTACTTGGTGGGATCTCGCGGTGATTTGGTTGTCGACTGCACCGTGCCTGTGGAGGGAGGCGTAAGGGAGGAAGTCTATGGAGTTCGAGGGCGAGATTTTTGGGGCTGGGTTGGCGGGAGTTTTCAGGGATTTCGCTCGGAAACTGTGGTGACCTCGACGCATACTGGACCAGACACTGCCGAATAGTGAGTGATTCCGCTGGAAAGAAATGATAAATTAGATATTCGTATTAAAAGCCCAGTCATATTCAAATTCTATTACAAATGCGATCCGTTTTTTTCACCATTTTCTCAATTTTTTTCTATTCAATATCCATTGAGTATCTCACGAAAAAATTGGACAATTTTCGATGAATATTTGATGAAAAGATCTGAACAGATGCTGATTCTTCCATGCAACTTATCCTATTGTGATTTTTTGAATAAGAATTTTTGGAAATGAATTTTCCAAATGTTTTTTCTTGAATTTTATCATCAGAAATGCACAAATCACCGGAAACCACTTGGAAAACTTACGCCTGACAAGTTTCATGTAGAAAATTTCGAGAGAATAAGTAATTTATCGATAATCGATGTGATTTATCTGTCAAATATAATTAAATTTATGAATTATTACCAATTAAAACACTCTCAATTGGTAAATCTCGCTGAAAAAATTTGGTTTGTTCTTCGGGAATTTTATGTGTCTCAGGGCATGAATAAAATCCACAATTGTAGCAATAACAATTGAAATCATTCAGTAGAAAATTTAGAAAAATTAAAAAAATTGAAGAAATCAGGTGAATATATTCTGAAATTTTTAATTCACAAAAAATCTACTTATTCAATTCTGAATATTTAAATTCAATCATCAATCCAACTCTATTTTAAAATTCCAATGTCATTTCCGCTTTAAGCTCTCCGACTCCATTTGAGTTTTGTCTGACCCATAAAGTTCCGTAACCCCTGCCCCCCTAAATCAACTCTACCATCACTCTTCAAAATAACACAGAATTTCGATATGAAAGCAGCGGAATTTCCTAGCAAAATAAAAGCGACAACAATAATAATAATAATAATAATGATAATCGGAAAAAAAACTAATAGAATTTCAGTAGAATTCGAATAGAATTCAGTAGAATTCTCATACGCAGTTTTAAATTTCACTCTGAGTTTTGTGATGTCAAATCCCCAAAATTTTCGACACGAGACATGTCCACTGAAGTTTTCGAGAGCCTGATCGTTGAAGAATCCTTGAAATCATTCAGTAGAAAATTTGGAAAAGTTTTAAAAAATTGAAGAAATCAGGTGACTATATTCTGAAATTTTTAATTCACTCCTGAATATTCAAATTCAACCATAAATCCATTTTAAAATTCAAATCTATTCTAAAATTCCAATGTTATTTCCACTCGAAGCTCTCCGACTCCATTTGAGTTTGGTCTGACCCATAAAGTTCCGTAACCCCTGCCCCCCTAAATCAACTCTACCATCACTCTTCAAAAAAAAACCCAGAATGGGAATCTGCATGCACTACGATTTTTGCAATTTCCCCATTGAAATTTATTGAAATTACCCTATGCATCGGTTCAGGATTGTCATCCAGCAGTTCCTCAAGATTTCCCGAGATGGCCCGTTTCAATTCAGGTCCAGCTTCGTGAAGAGTCCTGAGTCCAGCCTGCAGAGTGACAGTGTTATGGCAATCCTTGTCCCCCTCCTTCATCTCCTGCTCCTTCCTCTTCTTGAACCTCCGGAAATAATCCTGAATCAAGAAAGTCGCGTAGAACTTGCCCACCGTCACTTCATCGTCCACCCCCGGTGGCGGCACCACCTGATCAAGTAACTTTGGACTAGTCCTCTTCCATATTTTCTTGATTACCGCCCTGAGTTGGGCATTCGCGTCGTCAATATTTCCATCTGTCTTTATTCCCAACGACGTTCTCACAACCGCGAATAAAGTCGCATTGAATAACACTGTTCCATCACTGTTCAACGGCATATTCATGGACACTAGTCGCTTGCAAGCCACTCTGTGCGGGCACAATTTACCGAAACCCAGGGGTGGCGATATCTTTCGCAATAGAGTCACAACGTCCAGGTGTTTTATACGCCCTTTGGCGTCCGGATCGTACTCAGACCACAGGCGAATAAATTCGTCCAAATGGTGCGGCCCCAGGATCGACCAGTCGCGGGTCAAGTAATCGAAATTGTCCATGATTACGGCGACGAATAAATTTATTATGAGAAATGAACAGAGAACGTAGAACGATATGAAGTAGGGGAAGGCAATGTCGTTGCCGCAACTCTCCTTGTTAGCGTCGTCCGATTTTACGTCGCATTTCACTTCACGAGGACGGTAGGAGCAGTCCAGCATTATGTTCTGCCATGATTCACCTGCGAATTTTGAGGATATTTACTGCAATGTTGGAAATTTTTGGGCTTAAATTTTCGGTACACTTCTGGAATTTTTGTCATTAAAGACTCACGATTTGATGACAAAATTCATGGCAATTGGGAAATTCAGGGAATTGTGAACATCTTGAAGTTTTAATTAATTGACAATTTGGTTTAATTCGGGGCGAATGGTCATATTTTTATTAAAAATTCAAGGAAGTTGGAGAATTCTCGTTCTCTTGTTGTGTAAAGACTTGAAATTCCACTGAATTTTCAATAAAATTTGTTTTTTTTTATTTTTGCCCCCTAGATCATAAAATGTTGAAAATTTTTGACAGAATTTTCCGGTACATTTGCTGGAAATTTCTATCATGTGACAGTTCTACTGAAATTTCAAGGAATTTCTTCATTCAAAATTCACTTCAATTTCTTCATTCAAAAATTTCATTTGATGTCAAAATCGATGAAAATTGCGCATTACAATTCAATTATTCCGTGAAAATGAACAGGAACATATCCTTGATTTATCGATTAATTGAAAATTCTGCATAATTCGCTACTGAATATTCGTGTTATTGAAAATTTAATCAACAAATCGATAGATTTTTCAATAGAACTTCAATAGAATTCCAATGGAATTCTTAACAAATTTCAATGAAATTCATTATCACATGCACTGAGAAAAAAATTACTTTTGCCAAGTGAATTTTTACAAACTACAAGAAAATCCGCACATTTTAAACGCAAATATATATATGTAAAAATAAATATGCAAAAGTAATTGTTTTTCTCAGTCTGTTATGGAAACATCTCCAACAATCTAATGTTTTGTTCCACTTCAATATCCTACAATAATTTATTCGCCCTGTTTACCTGTAGCTGATCTAAACAATATCAAAACAGCCTGCGGGAACGTCTGAAAATTATTATTCCTGTAGATCGCAGTTTCATTGTCTAACGCAATTTTCCCAAACACTTGCATTCCAATGACCGCATAAATAAAAAACAGCATGACGATGAGTAGAGCGACGTATGGCAGTGCCTGGAAGGACTTGATGAATGTCCAGAGCAACGTTCGTATGCCCTCGCCTCGACTGAGGAGTTTGACGAGTCTCATGACTCGAAACAGCCGGAAGAAATTGATGGAAATGATGTTCGAGCCCGGCTGTGAAACGAACCAATCATTGAGGAATGGGAACATAGACTTTCGGAAATTTCTGCAGAATTAACAATGATCTCCAATTTTTTTGGGAGATTATTGAGAATTGAGATATTGAGACACAGGGGTACGTGCCACAGCCATATGCAAGACTACAACTAAAAATGAACGAAAATCATAATTAAAATAAATTCATAACTAAAATCTAAGGTGGGGACTACATTGAGTTGCACTAAGGATGATACCAGAGCTGAGGAAAATATTCCAATTACTAATTTATGGATTCATGACTATTTTTTATTTCGAAGTCGTATGTGACGAATTAAATTTCATAGAAAAACTGGGTGAATTCAGGGGAAAATTCTATTAGATTTATTTTCTTTGACTTTTGCGACTTCAGGATGAGATTAATTCGATTCATTCTTATTTTTGATATATATATCGACGAACTCCATGAAATATCTTTTCGAATAATGAAAGAATACCCACCGATTCGATTTCTATCCTTATTCTTTGATAGAACGATGAATCTAATGACCGGCACTGAATAGCCGAAATCATGAATTGGAGACGGAAATTTTTTAAAAAGGGATAATCAGCTAGAAAAATTTGTTTTTCTTCATTTGTGTCAGGGGAAACTTGGAATTATGGTTTTTTTCTTCAAGTATGGGAAGGAAATTAATATTTTCAAGTTTATGATCTCATTTTAACGAGAAGAAATGAAAAAAATGTAAAATAACGTGGGTGGGAATGAATAAAAAATGTAATTTTTCAAATAATGAAGGAATACGCATAAATTTTATTTCTATCGTTGTCTTTTGATAGAATAAATGACAACAATTAAGAATTGGATATTAAAAATTTTATGCGATTATTATTATGTAATTTATTTGAACAATTCTATTAGTTTTTGGCCGATTCAATTGAGGAATTCCGCAGTTGTATTGCGCGTTTTTTTTCAAAGTCCAAAACAAACTATTTTCAAAAAAAAATTAGTAGAATTTCGTCTTTCTATACAACTTTTTCTATTGGGACATTTTCTATAGGAATTCCTCGACATAATTGAAGTCGAAGAATTTCTATGGAAAAATAGAATTCCATTGATTTTTTCTATAGAATATTTTCCATTGAACATTTCTATTGAAAAAAGGGTACATAAGCTACAGATTTCCGACTAGAATCGGCCAGAAACTAATAAAAATTGACTAGAAATCCAATAGAATTTTCTATTGAATCCGCTAGGTTTTTCATTAAAACTTTTCGTTCATCGTTTCGTTAATTTATTCCAGTAAAAATACCATTCGAAATGAATAGTGGAATAATCGACAACTATTTGAGACTTTCTGACAACTCAATTCAAGCAATGAACTGATAAATATCAATTTCATCAAATTTTTCAAAGGGAAAATCAAAGAAAAGTGTTGAGTCATCGAAAATAATGAACTCGCAATGATCATTTCACAGTATTTTACACGGTGGGAAAAATTCAATAAAAATTACCAGAAAAAAAACGTAAAAATTACGTTCCGAAACGTAATCCGCGAGCGAAGTAAGATTCACAAAAAAGTGTGAGTCGGTCCTGAAATTGTACGAATCGCTACGTCAATTCTACGATTTGTTCCGTAAAAACCAATTCTACGATTTGTTCCATAATTTTTCCCCAACGATTGAAAAATTTTACGAAACGGAACGTAGAAATAACTCACCAGCTTCATAAAAATTGTACGTTCAAGAATTTTTTATTTTGGAGGGATAAAAAGTCAGAAAGTTTCTGTAAGATTTTACTTCTTCGGGAAAGATTACGTGACAATTTCGTACTTTGTTCGGTGATGAGCCTGAAAATTCACTGAACGTTTCAGATTCCTTCTCTTCCATTCCTATAAAAATCGCCGGAAAACGATTCTCCCTTGCGGATTACGTGAATTGTTCCGTAATTTTTACTCAATATATTTCCCTCCGTGTATCCTGTGGAAATCTATTCCCACGTGATTTTCATAAAATGTCCCCAGCTCTGGGTAACACACACATCGTTAATTTCAAGAAAGTGAACTTTCCCATAACGAATACACGGCTGAACATAAATATAAATAAACAGGTATACACGGCGGTACGTGCGATTTCAGGGAGTGTGAGGGTGGACGAAAGCTCATCACGAGGGATGGAATTAACTTCACTGGGGGTCACATACGCGCACAGTACATACACGCAAATTGCACGCATACATTTTTTTTAGCGCATTACATACAGTTTTAACGGTGCTGGGGAGGCTACCTCCCATCTTCACATGCAGTCGTGCCTAGAAAGGAAAGAAATGTGACGCATAAAGAAATATAAAAATTAAATTAAACATTGTGAACTGTGGCATGGTCGGTTCTTTGGCTATGTGGAGAAAATGATTACGTATGTACATTTGGGGTCTGACCCCGTGTTCTTGGTTTTGCATATGTGATTTGAGGTACTTTTAGGAGGTACTTACATTCACTTCGGAGTATACAATGTCGATGAAGCTTCCCAGCACTATGATGAAATCGAAAACGTTCCAGGCGTCTCCGAAGTAATTCTGGAGGGCATGATAATTTTTATTTTTTCATTCGTTAATTCTTTCTTTCTATTTTTTCTTTTTTTTTAATTTTTAAAATTCTTTATTAATACCAAATAAGCTTTTTTTTATACGAATAATATTTCTTTATTTGAATTGAATAATTCTTTTCTTTGAACTCAAGACCCGGGTGAAAGCTGAAATGATCGCCAATTGCTATTCAGTTTAACACAGCCCTGGAGTCTCCGAAACTTATGATTGTACAATCAAAAAAACGTTGGAAAAAATGAACACTTTCAAAGAGCGTTTTTGAATAATATTGGGAAATAAAACCAATAGGGAGGAAATTGTAAATTAATAATTTGATGTATCTGATGGCTGTCAGGTCGTGAGTTACCATGCTAAATTATCCATTCACCATTTCCTCTCTATCGGACTTATTTCTAAATCTTTATTAAAAACGCTCTTTGAGTATGTTCAGTTTTTCTTTCTACTTTTTTGATTGCACAATCATAATTTTTAGAGACTCCTGGGTGACGTAAAAACCAATAGAAATTTGATATATTTTACATTATGAAGAACAATCGAGATGACATTCGTACGATAATTCACTCGGGATTTAACCCTAGATTGGCCACCCTATGAGGAAACCCCGCCGCGCGTCGTTTTTCTTCAATTACAATTGACCGGCTATCCGGAAAAATTGAAAAAAAATTGACTTTGTCAATTGAAGTGTCGAAAAAATTATAGTAGTTTTTAAAGCCCCATATTTCCCAAAATTCCTAAAGAAAACAAATGATTTCGTATAGATAAATTATTTTTTCCGATGTTAAATGAAATTGCCCACGACGCGACGTTGCCGAAAACTCGCTAAACGCGTCCGGACAGTGTAAAGTGAATTTGGCAACGCTAAAGCCTAAGTAACACGGCGGGGAATCCCCGCGGAGGTGACCAAGTCGCAGGGTCGCGTTCGGTGACTAGACTAGGGTTAATAAAAATTTATTTGGTTCTAATGATTTACAAATTTTACGGAACAGCAATGTAAGAATAATAAAAAAAAATGATCAGAAAATGCTTTCGAAAACTCCCAAAACTGCGAATACGCCCTTTGTTTACATGACCCGCCTATATCGAAATAAATAAATGAAAAAATGATTTTCGTAAAATGAGAAAACTCTTCACTTGAAATGAATAAATTGTTTATTTGATTTCCAAAAATGATTTATTTGAAACAAATTGTTTATTTGATACAATCAAATCTCGTCTCTTGAAAGAAGTAAACAAAAGTTAATCCATTTCTAACAAGAATTGTTGTAATGAATAAACAAATGTCAAATAAAGATTCTCATTCGGTTCAAATAAATCATTTTTTAAGTGAATAAAATTAAAAGCCCATCTGAAAAAATATTCACTACTCATAATTTTCCACTCACTTTGAACCGAAATGCCGCGAGTTTGAAGACAAACTCAAGCGCAAAAACCGCAGTGAAGATCATATTGAGTACGTCGAGAGCATGTGTATACGGATCCGGCTGATTGTAGAATTTCATGGCAAGTGTTATGGTATTGATGATGATGAGAGTAAAAATGGTGTACTCAAATGGCTGGGACGTCACAAACCACCAGACCTTGTATTGAATTCGGTGTTTCGGTATGTATCGACGTACCGGTTTGGCTTTCAGTGCAAACTCGATGCAGTTACGCTAGAAAAAATTTATCGCTCAGCGATCCGAGTAATACGATTTTTCGGTAAATTCTCGTGCCTCGGCAAAAGCCTCGGAGCTCACCTCGTTCTTCTCCAATCCACAATTTTTGTACTCTTGTTCACCCTCGTTTTGAAATGTCACAATGACGAAACCCACGAATATGTTTACCATGAAGAATGCTATGATGATTATGTATATTATGTAGTAGGCTGCTACTATTGGGCGAAAGTTATGGATTGGTCCGTAGTTTTCACGATTTGAGTCGATTGAGACGTATAAGAGTCTGAAAGTTGATTCAGGATTAGACTGGGTGACAACTTCATCATGTTTAGCCACATTTACACTGTTTTTTGATTATATTTCAGTGTGAAAAATTAATTATTATAATGTCATAAAGATATTTCTAAGGATTTTTGTCACACGCACGAAAAGATTTCATCGAAAAACCGAGCGAATTCGATAGGAAATTCGATTGGATTTCTATTCAGAATTTTGCAGTTTTACTGTGCGTTTTTTAGGGACAATATACAACAGATACTATTCTATTCCAAAAATCAGTAGAATTCAATTTTTTTATTGAGACATTTTCTGCAGTAATTTCTCGATATGAATTTTCAGATTTTTTTTCACTCTATTCTTCTCTTTTCACGGAAAGAATTGAATTAAAAAAACTTGGAAAATTTGAGCCTAGGAATTTCTGTAGAAAATATCTCAACGGAATAAGTTGTCCAGAAAAAACGAAATCAATTGAATGTTTCTATGGAATATTTTTTATTGAATATTTCTGTTAAAAAAAAGCAAAGATCTCCGAAAATTTTCAATAGAATCGGCTGAAAATAATTCGTCAATAGAAATCCAATAAAATTTTCTATCGAATTCGCAAAGTTTTTCCATGAAAATTTTTCGGGCGTCTATACTTCCCTTCTAAATTACTCATCTTTATAAATGACATCTTCTTATCATGTTTTACTTACGATGGCCACCCCTCAAACGTTGATACTGTGAATAACGTCAACATGGCTTTAGCCACATCATCAAAATGAAAACGATTTCGCGTCCACAATCTCTCTTTCATGACTGGTCTGTTGATATTTCCCTCTTCATAAACCAAATACGTGCCACTAAAGATTCAAAAAAATCTCAATGAAACGACGCTTACATGACTTTTTCACGTGTGAAAATAGTTAGCAGGAACACCCAGCGCTCTTTCAGAGAAAATCAATGAGAATTTTATTTTTAAAAATCTGTTCGATGCTCGATTGCCCCGATTTTTATAGATGTTTGGTAGGCAAAGTCACTGAATTTCAATTATTCTGTATGAATCCGCGATACGCAAAATTATAATACAGAAGTAAAATTATTTATTACATATAAACTCAGGTAACTGTATTGTACAATTTTTCAAATATTTTATAAATCAGGAATTAACTTCGCAACAATGATCATCATTTGATTCATTGAAAAATGGTATTCAGATATTTAGAATTAATTATTTAATTATATCTGAGAATTAAAAATTATTTTCACATTTAAATAAAAAAGGAACTGTGATTAATTCATTGCAAACTTCTTTTAAAATTACTTAGTAACAATTTTTGTCGACACGCATGAAAAAATTCAGTAGAAACCCTTAGCCAATTCTATGGGATTTCTATTACAATTCTATTGAAAATGTCTACTTGTTTCTGTGCTGATGAAAAATTCAATATATTTTGCATTTCTGTTCGAATTTTTCTCTTGAGATTTTTTCTATTAGAATTATTGGGCAGAATCGGAGTGGAAAAAACTTATGGAGTGGAAAATTTATGTCCAAGCATTCTTATAGAAAGAATCTCAAGAGAAAACTTGAAACGGAAATTTGAAATCTATTGACTTTGTTTTATCGAATATTCAATAGAATCAGTGCAAAAAACAACTAGAATTTTTCAATAGAATTCCAATAGAAATTTCTAGCGAATTAGCTAAATTTTCTATTGAATTTTTCCATACGTGGATTCCTGGTATGAATTATTCTGTTTCGCGTTTCTTCCCAGAAATTCCTAAGCATTAATTTCGCGAGATTTTCCCGCTGCATATTTTTTATTTCTCGTTCCCAAAATGCAATAAAAAAAAATTGATGCCCAAGAATTCTCATACCGCTCCAATCCAAGAGCATTACAATTTCTCAAAAAAAACGCTAGTTTTTCCAACTAAATGATTTATCCCGTAATAAAAACTCACTGGCATTCAGCTTCCGTTATCTTAGATTCGTCATTACACGAGAAGAATTTCCCCTGCGATGAAGACAATATCGTAAATAACATCATAACAACGTAATTGCAAATTGCGAAAGAATATTGCAAAACATGGAGAACTGCAAACCATTACGCGAACAAAAGAAAAAAATTAATAAATCGCTTTCCGTGGAAGCGTCGAGTGCACTCGTGCTTGAAATGCGAAGATATGAAACCAGAAGATTATTAAAAATTAATGCGCGTGCAAACGAAATTCATTGATGTCAAGCATTCCTGAATGTCTCGTACAATAGTCAACGGCTTGTGAAAAACTCGTAGTATCAGCAGTACTTGATTTTTTCGATACTATGCGCGATATAAGATGTGATGGTGCGAACGGATCCGATAAACGTGTGTCGATTAATCACTAGGTCAAATTTTTTTTTATCATCAAACATGAGGAAATAAATATTCAATTGACAGACAAAGCTATTGAGATAATGAGCTCTCTAATGAATTCCAGAGGGTGTCGCTGTCACACGAAACTTGCCCCCTTTCGACGTATTCGCATTCTCTTGGTTGTACCATAAATTCATGCATCTGCGGACATCAAAGGAATACATATTGTTTCATAACACTTATTAATATCGTGACTTGTAGTACACGGAGAGAAAAGGTGGGGGAAAATTATCTAGAAAATCGCGGAAAAGTTTATTGTGCGAAAGGTAATTGTACTGTTAAAAAATTACGCTTGTAATTTTAATTGAAAAAGCTTGAAATTTTTAACAATGACAAAGTTACATGAAATTTCTGGAGAATTTTTCTATGACGAGTTAGTTAATTTCTTAAATATTCAAGTAGTTATCGACTTTCAGGTCAATTTCAGGCAATAACTTCTCTGAATTTTCAATCTATTGAAAATTAAATTGTATGTGATGTTCGATGTTCACGATGAATTTGAAAAATCTGAAAAAATGATTCTTTAACATGAAAAACCCAATTTTCTTGAATTTTCTAGATGAATGAGAAATTTAGTGAACATTTTCATTTGAAATTGAAGTCAAACTCACAATATTGAAAATTCAGATGACATTGTGACTGAAATTTCAAGAAATTTCTAACGGTGTGTGGAAGGAAATGTTTTTCAATGAAAAATACTTTTAGTGGAGGATTTCTTACGATTAGTTCAGTGAAAATATTACATCGAGGATGAAAAAATTACGGCTTCCAGTGCAGGATAATTTTCTGTACACATAAAATTTATTGTAGTGTTTGGGAGAGATGATCCTGCTCCTCTATAAAAAAATTCAGGGAGACTGAGTAATTATTCACGTTCGCTGCAATTTTTTTTGGAATTCTCATGTCATGAGATGAGAAAAAAATCACCATTCGTCTCGCATTTTTTCCCTCGAATAGTCATAGACACGTTGAACTGAATTGCGCTCCACGATTACTCGATTTGTTGGGTAATTTTTCCCCAACTGTTTTCTCCGTGCAGAAAAAACCCTATTCTTCTCTTCTAATTGATACATTGTATATATTTACACATCGATAAGTCTAGTTTTACTTGGAAGCCAGTTGCAAGACTTGGTAATTCATCGATATTTTTGTATGGAGGGATAGCTGAGTGGGATATTTTTTGTAATAAATGCACGAAAAAAATTATTGAATTGCAATTTTCCTATTTTTTAAATTTAATAATGCAAAAAATTGTCATTCGAATTTTCAAGAATGAATTATTCTGCAGAAAGCCGAGCGCTTTCGCTAGAAAACTCTATTCAGAATTATTCAATTTTACTGCGCTAGTTTTAATAGATATTTGATGGAACATATTTGGTATTTTACATTTAACATTTGTCTTCCGCGATGTTTTCACAAATATTTTAGGTTTTTATAGAAATCCCTCGGCTCGACAAAACTGAGAAAATTTATGTCAAGGAATTCCTGCAGAAAATGACTCAATAGAAACAGTTGTACAGAAAAACGGAACTCTACTGGATTTTTAAATAAAACAGATTCTATTAGACATTCAATATTTAAAAAGCGCGCAGTAAAGTTGTTCAATAGAATTGGTCAAAAGCTAATTCAATAGAGTTTTCTATCAAATTCGCTAGATTTTTCTATGATTATTTTTGTCAATCGATGCCTTCTATTTAACGAGTAAACTCGATCAATTCCCACTGAAATGTCCTTTCTCATCTCAAAAAACTCTAAAAAATGTAATTTCCGATGAAAATTAATAGAGAAACCTAGCGCTTTCTCCAAGAAATTCTACTTAATTTCTATTGGAACTCTATAAGAACTCTATTGCAGTTCTATTACAATTCTATAGAATGTTTTTATTTGTTTTCTGCTCCAGTTTCATCAAAAATTATTCTTAAAGACATTTATGCACAAAAAAAAATTCTATAGATGTTGATTTTTCAATATAACTTATTCTGTTGCAATTTTTTCTCAATAATTCCTGCATATATTTTCCCAAGTGTTTTTTTCTTGAATTTTATTATCAGAAATAAATAAAAATATAGCGGAAAAACATTAGAAAATCAACGTCCAACAATTCCCATAAAAAAATAAAATTGCCTTTCAACAAAATCCTACGCGTAAAGTTACATAACTCCCCTAGAAATGGCCCAAAAAAACCAACAAAAAATTAAAATAAAGTTCTAACAAGCCTTCAAGACAATTCTTATCGAGTTCCAATAGAAATTCAATGAAATTGCTCAGGGAAAGCGCGAGATTTTTCTACTAAACTTAATCATGCGTGCCATCCCACTCAAGACTATCCCACGGCCCCCTCCCCCCAAAAAACTATTTAAAAGTGCCACATGCTTTCAAACTAAAATACTCCACATATTTACACTACAACGAACTTAAAAAAAACTAATTGTTTTACGTGCTCATATGTTTTACCTTAAACAGCTGTACCCCGATAACAGCGAACATGAACTGTAGGAGGTAGGTAACCAACATAATATTGCCGATTGTTTTAATGGCGACAATCACACACTTGACTACATACTTTTATATTTCATCGTTCATTATTTCCACATTGTCGATGGTTTTATTAAATCGCAAGATTTACGTTGGGATTGTTTTTTTTTTATCGAGCAGGGCGAGGTACAGCAGGAAGTTGAGTTTGTCAAGTTGGTACACGGAGTAGGCAGACACAGGTAGGTGGAACAAACAAAAAAAAAGAGATAAGGTTGTTGTTGAACAGGAACATCATTAGTCATTAATGTATGGGGCACTGCAAAATTTGCTCGTACTGTGAGTTAGTTGAGTAAGGGGCGGGGCCTTGAAGGTACTAGGTATTTATTCACGAAAAAAAGGGGGATACAAGTAATTCCACTCTTGCGAATTGAATTAATCGGATTAATTGAACTTTAATCACTTAAGAGCAGTCATAAAGCTCCTTCGGATCGAGCCCTCGCCATCCATCCAATTCGTCTAGCCTTTCTAGTTATATTATACCGGTTCTACCCTCGGCAATGCACCTGTCGGCACATTATCCTATTGTATCACTTAGCTACACAAGACAAAATATAATTCATACTCTGAGAATTTCGTTCAGCACGGCCACATTAATCCGATAATCAAAAACCAATATTTTCTCAAGCACGAAGAAATTTCGTAGATTAACAGAGCGAATTCGATGGGAAATTTTATTTAATTTCTAGTGAATTTTTGTTGGAAATTTTGGTGGCTGCCGGGCTGATTATATTGAGGAATTCCGCAGGTTTAATGCGTTTTTTTTATAGAGATTATGTCCAATGGAAAGTATTTCATGGAAGAAGTCAATAGAATACCATATTTCTATAGCACTTTTTCTATCGACATTTTTTCCATGGAAATTCCTCGCCATGAATTTTCTTCACTTCATTTCATTTCTCTTTTCATGAAGCCATTTTCAGTAATTCTTATGTATAGAACATGTCTGAATCGAATAATTTGTATAGAAAAATCGAATTCTATTGATCTTTTCTATAGAATATCGTCAATGGAGCATTTCTATTGAAAAAACGCGCAGATAAGCTGAATTTTTCAACAGACTCGGTCAAACACTAATTGAAAGTTCAATAGAAATCCAATAGAATTTTCTAGGGAATTCGATACAACATTCTATTGAATTCCTATTGAACTTCTAACGAAAATTTTATTAGTTTTAGCCTGATTCTATAAAAAAATTCCTCAGCTATAGTGCGTTTTTTTATAGAAATGATGTCCAGTGGAAATTATTTCATAGAATATACCAATAGAATGAATTTTCTTCATTTGAGTCAATGAATTTTTATGTATAAAAATTATCTCAATAGAATAAATTGTATAGAAAAATCAAATTCTATTGATTTTTTCTATAGAATGTTTTCAATGGAGCATTTCTATCGGAAAAAAAGCGCAGATAAACTGAATTTTTCAATAGACTCGGTCAAGAACTAATTGAACGTTCAATAGAAATCCAATAGAATTTTCTAGGGAATTCGATACAACATTCTATTGAATTCCTATTGAACTTCTAACGAAAATTTTATTAGTTTTAGCCTGATTCTATAAAAAAATTCCTCAGCTATAGTGCGTTTTTTTATAGAAATGATGTCCAGTGGAAATTATTTCATAGAATATACCAATAGAATGAATTTTCTTCATTTGAGTCAATGAATTTTTATGTATAAAAATTATCTCAATAGAATAAATTGTATAGAAAAATCAAATTCTATTGATTTTTTCTATAGAATGTTTTCAATGGAGCATTTCTATCGGAAAAAAAGCGCAGATAAACTGAATTTTTCAATAGACTCGGTCAAAAACTAACTGAAAGTTCAATAGAAATCCAATAGAATTTTCTAGCGAATTCTATAGAACATTCTATTAAATATCTATTGAACTTCTATTTAAAATTCCAAGTTCTTTTTACTTTATTTGTTCCACTTTTTATCGATAAAATGAAGCAAAAAACGTAAAAAATTTGAACCGATGAATTTCTACAGAAAATATCTCAGTAAAATAAATTCCACAGAAAAATCGAATATTTTCCATTGAACATTTTCACGGAGAAAAACACGCAGACGCGCTGCAAAATTTTATGAGTACAATAAGCCAAAAAAAAAGAAAATTCAATAGAAACGCAACAGAATTTTCCAGCGAATTCGCTAGGTTTTTCTACGAAATTTTATCGCACGTACTGTCATGTTAATGTAGCGAAACACACCACTGCAACGATAAACTATGGGATATGCATGCAGTATTGAAATGCGCGTGATATCCTTCCATCAAATCAAACAAAAACATCTCAAAGTGATAAATAAAATTCGAAAGCCGAAAGGTGCATTGGGAGAGATACGTCTTCATACCAAAAATTAAATCGTAAATTAAAGGAGGTGAAAAAAAATTCGACAGGGATTAAGAATCAGAGGGGGTGCAGTAACAGAAACACTCATAGTAAATAGTAGAAAACGGGGTAATGTGAAAACAAAAGGGCGGGGAATGAGACAGTTCTAGGGGTGATGGAATTATTAGAGTGTTGAATAAAAATGTAACACATGAAAATGAAAAAAAAACGCGGAAGTCCTGGTGATGCCTTTACGGCCTACCTTGAAGAGTTGGACGCCGATAACGGCGAAGACGAACTGCAGGAGGCTGGTGACGAGGACTATGTTTCCGATAGTCTTTACTGCTACGATGACGCATTGGACTACGTGCTAATTTATCAATATTAGTTGTGGTATTCAGTGGGGGAGTGGTAGAATGAGATGAGTGAATTATTGAGTTTCGATTTGGGTTTGTTGGATTTTTTATTTTTCTTATTTATCCCTGCGACTGACCGGAATATGGCCCTGAACTTTATCTTCATAATTTCCCCTGGAGAGATCTTTTGTCGTATTGAATCAATTTACTTGGGGACAAAAAGAAAGTTTCCACCAAAACATGATAATTTTCGTAGTAGAAATTGTTCTCGTGAGACATTCATATGTCTTTCGGGTAAATACATTCGTTCTACAGAGAATTATATGAGGCTCCGGTTTTATCAAGTGAATGTTATTGAGTAGTGTACCTCTTTGTCCAATAAACACTTATAATTTCCGTGGAACAAACGATAATTTCAAGAGGAAACTGAAATCTTCTTGCCGAAAACTCTGTTATTGGCAAAACTAAATAATTTCGAGGGGACAATTTTTTGGGGAAAAAATATTCTTTCCTCGTCAATGTATTCTTTCTATGGTATAAACCTATGGAGTTCTCTCAGATCAAATGATTGTCGTGCAATAGATTATATTTTTTCCTGCCAGCAGTTCGAATTCTTCCAGGGGTATTTGTGATGATCACGACAAAAATTTAATTTTTGTGGAAGATCGTAAATTTCCTCCTGTCGGGATGGTTAATTTCCCTCAAGTAAATCTGTTGAACTCCATCAAATATTCTCAGAAATAATTTTTTCTCTCAGTGTATAAGTTAATTATCATTTGAAAATCTATCTACTGAAAATTCTATTATGTTTCTGTCGATTCTAGTGAAGAATTCCGCAGCTTCACTGCGCGTTTTTTCTGTGAAAAATGTTCAATGAAAACTATTTCATAGAAAAAATCAGTTGAATTTCGTTCAACTGAAATTTTAAAAAAGGAAAGAAATTGGGAAATTTATTCCCATGAATTTCAATGAAAAAATAAAAACCTATTGACATTTTTTAAATGACGCAGTGAAGCTGCATCATCTTCAATAGAATTGGCGCCAAAAAACACTAGATTATTTAGTAGTATTTTTATTTTTATTTTTTTCTTGAATTTGCGCAAGAAAAGTTCGCAAATTGATCCAGTTCCATTCTATTTAATGAAGAGTTTCGTCAAAATTCACTAAAAAATCACTTCACCTCTCCAAGACTCAAAAATACTATTAAAAAATAGCCCCCGAAGTGAAATTGACTCATCTCGTTCTGCCACTTCGCCGCTGAACTATTCTATCGAGTTACTCTCTTTCATCTACCTTATATTTTCCTCAAATTGACCCCTGACCTATTCCCCTCAGTACCCAACTAACCCATCTGGCAATATTATCATTCTATTGTATATGACTAAACTCTAGAATAGAAGAGTTTACTTGGCTAATTTGACTGGTGTAAAAATATACTCAGCAGCTCTGGTGACAGCACAAAATAACTTTAAACTCGAGTTGATGAGATAATTATTCCAATGGATTGACAAGTGTCCATAGACGAGTATTTTAAATATATTTTTCATACCTTAAGGCCTTTGGCTCGGTTGATGGCACGCAGTGGTCTGAGAACGCGCAGCACACGTAGAATTTTAACGAAGGAAATTGCACTGGATCTGAAATTCAAATGCCATGATAATGCACAGTTCACGGGATTTCCCATTTCACGGGATTTTCATCGCTGATCCTATTCCACCTCATTTCATTCAACTTGTGTCATACAGCTGATTTCATTCAAACTAATTTCATGTTTATATTTATTTACTCACCTCCATGCTATGGATATCAGGGAGACACAGACTACTAGGAGATCCAGCAGGTTGAAGGCCGAACGACAGAATGCACCGTCGTGCAGTGCAAAGCCGTATGATACCATTTTTAAACAAATTTCGATGGTGAATACGGTTGTGAAGAAATAATCGAAATGATTCAATATCTGGAAGGCATTGGGGGTAATTGAGATGTTGTGGCTGGGGAATTGAATATCCAAGTGGACAAATTAAAATTTTTCTTTCAATTTCTGAGAGAAAGCACTGGGTTTTTCTATTCAATTTTTTCATACGTAAAAAAATGGTGTCAGTACATGAAGAGAAAAGAATTGGAAATAGGGTAAACTTCCCAGTAGATGAACGTTAGTTTTCTAGCAATCTAAATAAAATTAATCAAAAAAATCGCCATTCAGGGGTTAAGGATCACAACAGTTGGTGAAAATTCAAAGCAACAATTTCCATTTCAGTATTTTTTTCGTAATTCCCTATTTAAAATAGCTCGTCCGTCTATAGGGCAGTGTCCATCTACTGGGTAGCTTACCCTAGACTGGCGATCGCAAGACTTGATTCCGACGAAGGGTGCCCGTGGCATGAAAAAATCGGGAAAAATACGATTTCACATTCATATCGATAAAGAATTTTCGAAAGAATCCGATTACACAGACTGTTCAGAAAATGTTTCCCGTTTAATCGGGAATATCCGGACAATTTTCGGAACTCTTCTCAATCAATTACAACAAACTTCTGATGGTGTAATATAGACATGACTGTGAGGGAAGCGAATTAGGAGAGCGTAACTGTATCGCATGAAATTTGTAGGAAAGTGATTTTTCCTGCAAAAAAACTCTCCTACAAAACCTCTTTTTATTTCAACTTCAAAATGGTCCATTAGCCCAAAACCCCCCTATCTCTAATTCCTGCAGCCTCCAGATAATTTGATTTCGACGCACAGAATAACTTCTTACATTTCGCAGTCATTTTACCGGTTTCCTCGAGAGTTTTACCGTAAATTCGATTCTGTTGAGACGTCGTAAAAATGACGGTGAAAGAAAATACATTTTCTTGTGCGCCGAAGGAAAAATCACGGAGTTCACTCATTTTATGAACTCCCCCGGCAAAATACCGGTAGCGTAGCAGTTTTTATGCTCATTTTTTTTCTCCGTGTAGGATTTTTAATCTCAATTCTATCAACACACACAAAATGTGTCGTTTTTTCAAATGCACATAGCTAATTTTGTTGTTTTCTTTGCATAAAAAATTGCACCATTTGTGTAAAATAACGAGAAAAATGTTTCCGAAGGGATCTGGAGTATAATATTTTAAATATTTTGGGGATCTTGGATTGAGGAATTCTCAATGCACACTTAACATTCATTAATGTCCAGTCAATTCTCTCCGTTGCAGCCCACATTCCACTTGGATATTCCCCGAAAAAAAAATCTAAAAAACTAAAGAAAACTTCATGCTTCATCTTACAACATTCCGTTCAGAGGTGGCATTGAGAGGATCCTCAGCAGCCAACATAGCCGAAGAAATCATAATACAGGCAAGAATAAAATTGCCAAAGTAACTGTGATTACAGAACCAATGACAGAAAACTCGAAATCTATTGGTCTTCGAGAATAAGAAGAAGGACGAGCCCTCGGGTATGGGCGGCTTCTCAGTGGCCATATTGTACTCAGACATTCTTCTGGGCCTCGCCGAAACGACTTCCGGTCCCCCCTCAATCTCATCCATCTCCATGTGATCGTAATCGTCTTCCCCTTCATCTGGTGCAAAATGTTCGTAACCATCGTCATCAGATTCAACATTAATTCTGACTTTATGCCCACCATCCTCGTGTCCATCTTTGGAGCCCTCAGTGTCTTGTCCCTCGTAATCGTCCCCATCGTTCTCATATTGCTCAACATCAGTCCCGGGATCCTCTTCCCCACTGGTGATATCACCAACGTCTTCGTCATCGTGAACACACTCTTCACCGCTCAATTCATCACGAGCGGGTGAACCACTGTGGGACTTGTCGTTCTCTTCATCTTTCTCAACGGCTGTCAGCTGATCGGCGTCAGCGAGATTGTCTACAGCGATGGCCAAAAAGACGTTCAGAAGGATGTCTAAAGTTTCGTGTTTTGCTGAGGAAAATTCAGTGTATTGAGATCTTTTTTTTACAAAAATTCGTCAGCTCAAATTTTCCTAGTACGTTTGCTTGATTCTTTCAATAAAAGGAGAAGAAATATGGAGGGAAGAAAATATATAAAATTTATATCGTAGAATTCCTACAGAAATTTCTCCTTTCTATCGGACACTTTCAGTAGAAAAAAGCGCGAAGTGATGCTGCAGGATTTTCAATAGAATTCGCTAGGTTTTCCTATCAATTTTGTCATTTGAATAATTGCGTATTCAATGGGAATTGAGAGATTTGAATGAAAAACGGGCCGTAATCTTGATGGATCCTTTATAACCCTCTGCTCATAGCCCATTTCGCTCAGAACAAGGTTCTCAAGACAATTATCCCATCCAACCCATCTCCGCGAATCGACCCCTCGAAGTCTCCAGTTTTACGACTTAACTGCGTAATAGAATGCATTGATGGAAAGAGGATACAGTTTCCGCAGATGAAAAGAATGATGAAGTAAACACAGGCAAGTATCCCATGACTGGCAACACCCCCGTAAGCCCGAATTCCCACGTACATGACGGCATTCCAGTCCTCCCCCGTCAGTATCTGAAACACTGTCAGCAAACTCTGCCAGAAGCTGTCGAAATTGCTGCGTGGTTTGTCCTGGAGATCATCGAAGTTGAATTTCCCCCCGAAGACCTGAAAATTCCATCTTCATCACATGCATGAAAAAATTCAGCAGAAAACTTGAAGCATTCGCTTGAAAAGACAAAATTAGATTCCAGGATTATTTCATATCAGCCCGGGTTATACCAAGCGCTCTCAAGTGTAATATAAGGGTCAGACACTAAGTGTGAGAATATCAGGGTCAAAAAGTGGAGGTTAAAAAATGAGGGTCGGAATATTAGAGTCAAAAACTGAGGGCCTGAATGTAAAGGTGAAGGAATGAGGGTCAGAATATTAGGGTCAAAAAATTAGGGTCAGAATATAAAAGTAAGAAAAGTGGGTGTCAGGCAATGAGGGTCATATAAGGGCTCAAAACGGGGATCAAGCATAATATGTGACATATTTAGACCCTCATTGCCTGACACCCACTTTTTTTACTTTTATATTCTGACCCTCATTTTTTAACCTCCATTTTTTGACCCTTATATTCCGACACTCAGTGCCTGACCCTTATATTACACTTAAGAGGGCTTGCTGCAACCCGGCCTGATACAAAAGAATCATCTTCGAATTGAAATACCCATCCCCCAATTAAGTATAAAATATACTTGAATCAAATGTTCTTTTTTTGTGAGTGAAGACAAAAATTAGAGCGTGAAAAACGCGCAAAACTGTTGATTCTATTCTTCTATCAACCGTAGTCTGGTCACCACACGCGACCACGCGACTCTGGTCACTTTTGCGGGGATTCCCCGCCGTATTAGTTACGTCCAAGCGTTGCCGAATTCACTCTACACCGCACGGGCGCGTCCAGTGAGTTTCCGGCAACGTCGTGTGATGGGCAATTTCATTTAACTTGAGAAAAAATAATTCACCTATTCGAATTAATTTGTTTTCTTTAGGAATTTCGGGAAATGTGTTGTTCTCAAAATTATTATAATTCTCTAGGCACTTCAATTGACGAAGTTCAATTTTTTCGAATGTTTCCGGTTAACCAGTCAATTGTATGGTGACCAATTTAGGGTTGAATTTTCTATAAAACATAAAAATCACTCAACCCTACCTGCATCCCCAACAGCGCAAAAATCACGATGAAAAGAAAGAGCAGCAGCAGCAACGAGGCGATAGACTGTATAGAATTAAGCAGCGAAGCCACCAAATTCGACAGCGATCTCCAGTACTTGGTGACCTTGAAGACCCTGAGAAGCCTGACACACCGAAGTACCGAGACCCCAAGTGGTGGCATGACCTCCGTATTCGTGAGTATCATTTCACTGATTGAACCAATGACAACGAAGCAATCAAAACGATTGAATAACGATAGAAAATACCCCTGAAACCCCAAACTGTACATTTTCAGTGTCATCTCCATGGTGAAAAGAGCAACGAAGAACATATTAGTGTACTCTTGAAACCAGTCGAGCCAGTCTGGCTGGCGAAAATGCTCGGTGGCCAGTACAGCTGTGTTGAGAAACACAAGAACAATAATCAGCCAGTAGAAAACTTGTGATTTAACCGCCCTGCGGCATCCTTTTCGCATGTGCTTGTTGATATCTGCCCAAGTTTTTCGATTTTTTCCCCACACAGACTCCTGACGCGCACCCTCCTCATCGCCCTCGAGCCTGTCTGTACTCTCCATTTCATTCTGTTGCTTGGACTTTCTACTCTGCATTCTAGGCTCGTCATGCTCTGTCTCAATGTCCTCAGCCTGAGTTATCCAGTCGAGATATCCCCGCAGATCTTCGTCGATCTGCTGCTTCTCCCTCAATTGTTGAAACTCACCTGGGAATGCGAAATCACTGTCATTTCAGTTTTGAGGGCTTCGCGGACACACGGAGAGAAAAATTCAATAAAAATTACCAGCAGAAAAACGTAAAAATTACGTTTCGAAACGTAATCCTCGAGCGAAGTAAAATTCAATAAAAAGTGGGAGTCGGAACTGAACTTGTACGAATCGCCACGTAAATTCTACGGTCTGTTCTGTAAAAATTAACCACCCGTCTGATGACTCACCGCTGTGGGGACAAGTCGTTCCGTAATTTTTCCCCAATGATGAACGAAACGTAGAAATAACTCACCAGCTTCATAAAAATTGTTGAACGTTCAAGAATTTTTGATTTTGGAGGCACAATAAGTCGGCAAGTTTCTGTAAGATTTTACTTCTTCGGGAAAAATTACGTGACAATTTCGTACTTTGTTCGGTGATGAACCTGAAAATTCACTGAACATTTCAGATTTCTTCTCTTCCATTCCTGTAAAAATTTCCGGAAAACGATTCCCCATTGCGGATTACGCGAATTGTTCCGTAATTTTTACTGAATATTTCTCTCCGTGCATGGTTATTGATATCATTGGCTTTATTAAAATTAAATTAAAAAACCATATGTTCACGTGAGAATATTTGATGCAGTGGAACAGATTTACTTGAGGGAAATTAACCGACTTGATACAACGAAATTTAATATCTTTCACCGGAATTAATTTAATTTAATTCATTTTAATTTGATTTTCTATGAGCACTAATTGGCTTGCGGTCAGTGAGATGAAAACAACTTTATTATTTCTTCTCTCCTCTCTACAATAAAAAGAGGCTCAATAAGAATATTTCTTATAGTTCACTAAAATTCTTCGATATTCTGTTCGAAATGTTGCGCAAAAATAGTTATCAATCATTCATTTTGCGCGGAGTGCGCATCCGACCTCGTGACGGTAAATTCACGAGTCAGTATATTCCGTTGCATCCCTACAACTCACCCCTCTTCTTCGCCTTGTCCCTCTCCTTCGAGAACTCTCCGGACAAAACACCGAGAATGAGATTCATCACGAAAAATGCACCGAGAATGACCATGGACACGAAGTATATCCACTGCCAAGTGCTGCCCATTGCGTCCTCAATGTCGTACAGCACGTCGGTCCATCCTTCTAGTGTGATACACTGGAAGACAGTCAGCATCGCCAGTCCAAAGTTATCGAAGTTTGTTATTCCATAGTTCGGACCCTCCCAATACTGTCTACTGCATACGTATTGACTTCCTAGTGTGTTGCATTGGAAACCAGCCTCACCACAGGGATGTGGCTCCTCCATTATTTCACCTTGAAAGGAAGGTAATGGATTTTAATGTCATTTTCGCCATTTCAGATTTAAAATTTGCTGAATATCATTTGACATGTTTTTGCTGAATATATTTTACTGAAAGTTAGTAGGTGATGGAAAGCTTTTTCAGCTGAGGAAAATATTATTTGAATTACTAATTGGATTTGGCATAAAATTTTTTACTAAATATGAAAACCTCCGCATTTTGCAATGCATTGTGACTTTTTATGACTTGCCAAAATTTAAAAAAATGCGAATAGAATTTTCCATCCAATTCGCTAGGGTTTCCTAAACACGTATTTTCAAGTCGATGAATAATGGAACTTGATGAATTACAAAGAATTGAAAATGTCTGGATTGGAGGATTCGATTAACTGGCCTCAGTTCTCAGTTTCTCTTCATTTTTCAAAATAAAAAAAAACGTCTCCAACATTTTCCATCCAATTTTCGTACTCTACTATTTTATGTCTCCATATTATAAAAATCCAAATGGACTTCTGGTGATGAAAATTGGGTAGTTGAAATTAAGACTCCAAAATTAAGGGTCACAAGGGTCAAAAAAGGGTTACGGGGGTCAAAATAAGGGTCATGAGGCTTAAAATAAGGGTCCCGAGGGTCCGATTAAAGGTCACAAGGGTTTAAATAAGGATCACAAGGATCAAAATATAGGTCACAAAGGTCAGATTAAGGGTCCAAATAAGGATCATGGAGGTCAGAAACTAAGGGTCACAAGGGTAAAAATAAGGGTCTCTATCTCTATACTATAAAATCCAAATCGACTTCTGGTGATGATAATTTAGTACTTGAAATTAACACTCCAAAATTAAGGGTCACAAGGGTTAGAAGAAAGGTCCCGAGGGTCCGATTAAAAATCATAAGGGTCTAAATAAGGGTCAGAAGGGTGAAAATAAGGGTCACAAGGATCACGAGGGTCAGCAGGATCAGAATAAGGGTCAGAATAAGGGTCACAAGGGTCCGATTAAAGGTCACAAGGGTCGAACTAACGATCAAAATAACAAAATAATAAAGTAGGGCGAGCAGGGGGCGGAGCCCCCTAGTTAAGTGAATAAATTTTATGCCACAACTCAATTATAATATCCACGACTATCCCCGCCACTTCAAACTCGCAAACCGTGACGAAGGAAAGTATTCGAATAATTTTATTCAGAACAATACGAAAAATATGAAACAGTATTTTTTTATAATTTATTATTCCTATAAAATAGAATAGCAAATTTCTATTACATTCAAGTTTTAACAGGAAATATTATTATCAACAAATTGAAAGAATTATTTTCAGTAATTTCCATCTTCTTCAGCAAAAACTATTAAGAATATAAAATGACTTCTGCACTCACCTGTTTTATTATTTCTACACGTTTTATGCATTTTTCCCGAGAATAATTCTAATCCTATAATGGCGTAAATGATGATAACAAACAGTACTAGTAATGCAATGTGCAGCAATGGTACCATTGCCTTGAGGATGGAATTCAGTACTACTTGTAGACTTGGCACACCGGAAACCAGCCGGAGTGGTCGTAGTACTCGAAATGCCCTCAGGGCTTTAACATCGAAGCCCTCTTTCATCAGTATTGTCAGTATTGTACTGATCATTCCTATTACAACAATTGTAAAATCGAGCATGTTCCATCCGTTTCGGAGGTAGGCTCCTTGGTGGGCTACGAAACCGTATGCGATTATTTTCATCACGCATTCCACGGTGAATATGACGAGGAATACGTACTCGATTTTTTCCTGTTGAGAAATTGAAAATGGGAATTTATATGAATAATTTTCATTTTTATGAGTGGAATGTTTAAATGGAAAATTCTAGCGCTTTCTCTCAGTTCTATTCATAGAATTATTGTTTTTGTGAGCATTTCTATTGGAAATCACGGAAATATGTTATTGATTTTTGTGTAAGAGGTTTTGACAATTAATTAGAAACTCTTTTTTCGACAGAAAAAGTGTCAACAGAATAATTTCATATATAATAGAAAAACGAAAATTTATTGATTCTTTTCTATCGAATATCTGCTCAATCGTATGAGGAGGTCGTAGGATTTTTTATAAAAATCGCGGCAAAAGGTAAATTGAATCTTCAAGAAGATTTCAATAAAATTGTTGTTGAACTTTAATAGAGTTATAGTCGAAATCCAGAGGCGCCTGTTTAAAAAAGCTAGTGTACTGGGAAATTCTATTGAAATTTCTTCTTTTAATATAAATTTGAAACAAAAAATAATTCAGCGAAAGAATCACGAGATTTAAATATTTTTATACAACTTGTTCTGTTGAAATTGATTACGTGAAAAATCCTCGTCTGAGATGTTTAATGTTTTTCTACTTGAATTTTTTAATAAACCAAAAAAATACAGGGGAAAACATAAAATTTCTATCCAAGACCATAAAAAAGAGTCTATTGACTTTTTCTGTTGCATAACATTCAATAGACTTTTGCAATAAAAATTTTAAAGTATCTCTCAGAAAAACCTGCTCTTCTTGCTCGGAACTCCATTTAATTTTCATCGCAATCCTCTCAAAATTTCTTTTTTCATAGCCATTTTCAACAAAAAATAATTTACCAAAAGTCTGTAGACCGGAATCTTTTCATGCAACTTATTCTGCTGGAATTGATTCCATAAAAGTCCCTCGATTTAAATTTTTCGAGTTTCTGCGCTTGAATTTTTCAATGAAAGGAGAAACAAATTTTGTGAAAAAACTCGAAAATTTATGCCCAAGACTATAAAGAAAATTCTGTTGACTTTTTTTGTTGCACAACATTCAACAGACTTTTAACAGAATTCTAATAGAATTCCAATAGAATTTCTCAGAGAAAAAACTAGTGTTTTTCAATAAAATTTCCTCACCATATTTTATTCATGAATATTTAAAATTTTGCTTACCAAGTACATATTTGTTTGATTAGAGTCGCCACAGGGATACGGTGTGTACACCCCCAGGGCGACGCAATTGGCTAAAATTGTCAGGAGAATGAGCCACTCAAAAGGTCTGATTAATTCAAGTGAAAGAAAATTCATTCAATTCAACTGTTGAGAAACAAGAATACCAGGTGCAATCAATAGAATTGGTACAGCGGTGAATCTATTGTGCAAAGCAATGTCAGAGGAATTCATTGTATTACGCATTTCATTGGATTTCACTTTTCAACTGGTCTCGGAGAATCAGGCCACTGCAAGTATCGAATGTCGAAGTTTCTAGGGTATCAAGTTTTCAAAACAGCATTGAACAGTGCATGTAAGGGTACGTCGAGAGATTTAACGTTTCATTTCAACATTCTGTTTAATGAATACGCCTGAGTGGCTCTCGATTTATACAGCATGAGCATGGGTTTTCACGCTTGATTGATTCCTTTGACGATAACTTTAATCTGGAGGTGATTTCTTGAGGGAAATTGTTTTCTGGATTATTGTAATTTTCCAATATCGCTCGTTAAATAACGATTTTATGATAACGGTTCTACGTTAATTTAGAGTAAAATCACGAAATTTCCGATTGAATTAAAATAGGATTTTTAAAATAAATGATTAAGCAATGAAAAAACGGACAACGCCAGAGCTTAATAAAAGTATTGGACTAGGAATTCTTTTTTTTCAGAATTTTTAAGCGTCGAGAAAGCCGCTAAAATATAAAAAGCGAATACGGGCTGCGCCGCGCTCATTGAGGGAGTGATCGAGGGTTAATAACGCGGGCGCCTGCTACACGAAGCAGGATCATTTCCTCATTTCTATCCCGGAATTTAGTAAAAATTAATACATGACGATCAAATTTTATTCTACGTCAGAGAAATTTTATCCTGATAAAAATCAAAATTACGGTGCCGGTAGAGTAATATTTACCAACTGTTCTAGAATTTTCGTTGTTATCTACATAAAAATTATTGAACTGGAAGGGTAAAATTTATTATGCGTCAGGATAAAATTTCTCAAACGTTGAATAAAATTTGATCATCATATATTAATTTTCATTAAATTTCGGGACAGAAATGAGAAAACGATGACTCATGATACACTTTTACAGAACGGTAGGATAATTATTATCAAAAATTTCTCTCTGTGTAGCCGATAAATCTTTTCTATCCACAATTATCAAGAGCAACCAAAAAAAAATGTCGAAAATGTTTCATCCTAATGAGAATAAGAAAAGGATACTTCCACTCAACGACGTCGATACACATTTTCCTAAGTGGATTTTTAAGTCCCATACAGAAGAGGGCCCGTACCGGCCTGTCAGGAGTGGGTTTGGCACCCCTCCTGGCCGGTCTCTTGGGTGGAGCTGTGGGTGCGGCAGCTGTTGCTGCTTTCGACGAAGCAAGGCCATCCTGTGTCTGTCCACCTGTCTGCTGACCATCGGGATAACCAGTGTCACTGGTGGGACGGGCCCCGTTACCAATATCGGGACCCGACAGTGGCACGCCATCGCTCGTGCTCATCTGTCGTCCACCCTTGTCACCCTCGTGTCCTTTATTAATCTAATTTACACCGGCCACTACCCCCAAAACTCACTATCCACGTTTTCGCCTCGTTTATCACGACACTGTAGCAACAGCCTCGTCTGCGTTTTCTTCGTTTACGTGTTTGTCCTCTGCCAGCCACAGCAGACAGTTGGAAACGACGCGGGATCAGTGCGACGCGCCTCCTCTGACACCCCCTTGGCATGCTACGGCGAGATTTTCACCACTAGCTTCTTTGCTGAACTATTGACACATTAAGGAGAAAACATTGGTTGGAGTGGTGGATTCATTTGTGTGGAATTTAAAACGTTTTAGTTTTTGAAAGATATATTCATTTTTGAGAATTGTTACTGATTTTTTTAAATCTACTCGTAATTTTTAAAGATTTTTGACACTTGTTTTTCCTGAAATTTTAGGGATTTAATGGTGAGATCGTTGGGACAAAATGGGATGGCAGTTGAAAACTTTAATTTACCTTCTGCCATTTTAAATTCATAATTCGATGAAAAAATAAGACGAAACTATTCATTTTAGTTCAATTATTTCATTAAAATTAAGAGAAATCAGAAAATTTCAGGTGAATGTATTATTTATTTTCAATTCAGTAAAAATTCAGCGTAAATCGGTGCTGAATATTCATGTTTTCACTACTAGGATCTTTGTAGAGCTATTGACACATTGAGGAAGACGCTGAAAGGAAATGTTTTAGTATTTGAAAGATCTATCCGTCATTGTCGAGAATTGATCCTGATTTTTTTTAAATTTATTCATAATTTTAAAAAAAATTTGACGCTTCAATTTCCTCAAAAGTTAGAGATTTAATGATTAGAAATAAGCGACAAAAGAAGTTGATTTTAGAATTTTTATTTATCTTTTGCCATTCAAAATTTACAAATTTTTTAGTTCAGTTTTTTCATGATTCTTCGCCCCTAAATTGAATGAAATATCGATCTCCCGAAAATTACAACTAAACTGTCAATAAGAATTCCATTTTTTTCTTTTACATCTCAGAAGGTCATCCAATCATCACAATCAAAAAAATTCCACGTTTTAAGAGAATTTAATTCCTCACTCTAAACTTCAACTCTAAACTATTAAATTTTAACACAAAAGGAATTTCTACAAGAGCATGAAATTTCTGTAAAAGTAAAAAAAAAATGAAAACAAAAAATTATTAATTTCTGTTAGTTCTCAATTACCGGTAATCATTAAAAAAACAAAATAAAAACATTTCGAATACAATGCAACTGCAGAAAAATTCGACTAATTATTTTCTCCCAACACGACTTTCTGGAATAAAGCCGAAACATGGACTGCACATCATTCACTAACAATGAGTTAATATTGTTCTTCGTGACCACAAGGCCAATTAAAACATTCATGAATACAAAGTCGTGAAAGCTGTGACACAATTCGCTGAGGCCATATACCAAAAGCACAGAAAACTTTCTTCATCCCTCAATGAAACAACAGTGAAATGGGAAACCAACTCCGGAGTCAATTACTTGCATCAAAAAAATTCATGTGCATTAAAATTCAAGTTCTGCCGCTCACGAATCTTTTGGATTTTCCCTAAAAAATGAAGTTTTCGCAAAATACTAAATTTCGATTAAAATAAATCAAATTACTACAAGAGTATGAAATTTCTCGGAAAATGAAAGAAAACAAAAACAAAAAATTATTCATTTCCGTTAATTCTCAGCTAATGTTAATAAAAAATGAAATGAAAAAATTTGGAATTTAATACAAAGTCGTGAAAGCTGTGACACAATTCGCTGAGACCAAATACCAAAAGCACAGAAAACTTTCTTCATCCCTGAATTAAACAACAGTGAAATGGGAAACCAACTCCGGAGTCAATTACTTGCATCAAAAAAATTCATGTGCATTAAAATTCACATTCTGCCGCTTACGAATCTTTTGGATTTTCCCTAAAAAATGAAGTTTTCGAAAAATACTAAATTTCAATAAAAATAAATCAAATTACTACAAGAGTATAAAATTTCTCGGAAAATTATTCATTTCCGTTAATTCTCAGCTAATGTTAATAAAAAATGAAATGAAAAAATTTGGAATTTAATACAAAGTCGCGAAAGCTGTGACACAATTCGCTGAGGCCATATACCAAAAGCACAGAAAACTTTCTTCATCCCTGAATTAAACAACAGTGAAATGGGAAACCAACTCCGGAGTCAATTGCATTAAAAAAATCCTATGCATGAAAATTCGCGCGCCATAACGGACAAAAATTTCACCGAACAATTAGCCGCGTAATCAACACGATCCACGAATCAGTACAGATGTAAATAAGACGTTTAAATCAAACGAACCGTCCATTTTTACCCAGTGGGAAAGCCCAGCGATACCGGGGACTACTACAGTGAGCTTCAGGAATCCTATACTGCTATATTTAGTGAGTTCTAAATACTCGAAGCCCCACTAGACGCCCGGGATATTTCTTCATCTTTCCATCTTTTTTTCCCCTCGCGTTTCTTTTCTACCCGTTAAACACTAAAATCCGTGGCATCCACTATTCACACCGGTTTTAATGGCACAAGCACATTGTAATCCGCCATCCCCTTGTTGTCTGTTTACCTCACAACCTGTTGCACACGCCTTTGATAATAAGTAAAAGTGTGACTCACACCGAAATAATGGGGCAGCAGGCATTGAATTCCAATGCGATTATTTTGATTGACACGCACGAGCCTTTTGGCTCTTATCCAACGTACATTGCCACTGGGGAGACGAGGGTTGACAGGAGATAAAAACTTTGGAATTACAGAATTGTGTCAAGTAGGAGACCGCGGGGTACAATGAACCATTTTCAAGTTCCTTCATCTGCTTAAAGTATTATAGCTCTACCCTTACGGTAAATTCAAAGATTATTGAAAACTGCAAAAAAATTGCAGGAAACTCGATTAGATTCGGAATTCTAATTTTTTTCTCAATTTAATCATCGTTTTGGTTTTTCAAAGAAGAAACGTTTAAAAATCAGGATTTAACCCGGTGTCTTATGTGAAAATCAACATTTCCATTGTAATCAAAGAATTTTTTTGACACATAAAAAATTATCCACCGTTTTGCAAACAAGTTTTATTATTTATTTATAAGAGGGAAAGGTTTGAAAAAATATCAATATTTTGCGAAATTTAATTTAGATAATACCGACTGGGTATGAATTTTTTCAAATTTTTTCCATGCAATTTAGTTGAAAAATTTAAAAACTGGAAATATTTAAAAGTATAGTGTAGTCCGGCCGAAGGGTACAGCTGCTTTAAGGGGCAACAGAATGCGGCCCATTTTCCTAATTTTTTGACAAATTCCCTCCCCCAAGTTATCGATATTTTTACAAATCGAAGCACATTAATCTCCAGGAGGTGATGGTGAAGGTCAATGTGCTTTGGGTTCAAAAAATACTAATAACTTTGAGCAGGAAATTTGTTTGAAAATTTCGAGGAAACGTTCGCCTTCTGTTACCCTTTAAGGATGTTTCATCAGTGTCAGTAAATGTGTTTTTTTTTCATGGTCAAGGAAAATTCCGCAATTTTTTCGGCTGACAACAGAACATATACAATCGGACTCAAACACGCCAAAGATCATAATTAATTTTTCTATTGATCGACATTTAATAAATAAAAAAAATCGGCCCAGCCGTCCAGAAATTAGGGATTTCGGCTGCATTTAATTATTTTTCAACTTAATTATTCTTTATTTTGTTATTTCGACTTCAAATAATTTTTTTCTGCTAATCAAAATATTCTTGAAGGCATGGAAGCCATCATATCCCCATTTAGGTGATTCTTTTATTTTAGAGCCTACCACGAAACTCGAATTTACCTTAACCGTCCAGGAATTGGCCTGTTCACCTTATTTTCTGCAGAAATTTCTTGGCCCAAATTATCCAAGTTTTTTTGACTGATTTTCGTGATGAAAAGAAGCGAAAAATAAAATGAATCGTGGTACCGCTTCACTACTGAATTTCAATCCCGAAACTTGTCTTTCCAATTTTTTAGTTCAGGAAAAAAATTGAGAATGGAAAATGCGTGGAACATTTTTTTATTCCTTTATGAAATCTGTATTAATATTTTTAGTTGAATATTAGAATTTTTGTTTTAGCCCTGGGTGATTGCGGGTCATCAAACGTGCTCGTACTGTGCAGGCGCGTGACACTGAATTCAATTTAGGGGAAAATTGCGTAAAATTTCAAGTTCCAAGTGAAGATGAAATGGACAATTGAAGAAATTCGCTTGTAATTAACAGTTTTCAATCATTTTCTCATTAAATCGTTCGCTTTTGATGACGATAATTCCGAAAATTTCAGATAAATATCACGTGTTAAAGCGTGACATTGTCAACGTTTCGGCCTCAATATCTGAGGCCCTCTTCAGGACAAAAACCCATCATCCTTATTTCTCTGCCAAGAAAAAAACAAATAAAAAATCGTCATGGACATTTCCCAAAACCTTAATCCACTAATTAACAGTTTGAGGAGTATTTACGAAAAAATGAAAAAAATCCTGAAGATTGCGAGATTCTTTCACAAATAATTTACAAATCGCCAGATTTCGCCCCTAAAATCCTTTTGTCGAAGAAATAAAATGAGGGAGAGTGGGGTAAAACGGCCCCTTTCGATTTTTTTCGTGATACTCACAACTCAGAAACAAATTCATTAATTGAGATCAGTCTAGGCTCATTCTAAAGGGGAAGAAGTGTAGTTTCTATGGAAAAAAAATTATTCCGTTTCATTTAAAATTGAATGAGCTGTTAGCATTTTTGAAAAAATCAAACGGGGCCGTTTTACCCCACTCTCTCTTAATCTTTCATAATCAAAATTATCTAAACTATTAATTTCAGGCAAGAAAAATTGTGGATTTGTGATGATTCCGCATTGTGCATCAATTTCTAATATCCCACCCTCAATCATCCGTTTAAAACATAAAAATTAATAGCAAAAGTTTGAATGTTGTGGCCTGCGG